ATCTATTGCTTGGTTGGTTTTTAATGTACACACGTTTTTAGAAATATTGGTATAGTTTCCTCAGAAGTTTAGCTATTTAATTAGGTAAAAACCAAAAAAGAAAAAGTTAATTATTCGTTTGGTTGTTGGAGCGCACATATACATCTAAACTACTCTTTCAAACTTTTTCCTCTTTGAATAATTTAATATGGTAGAGTTAATTACTCCTCAAATTCTCCTAATATTTAATTAGAAATTTTTATTAATAGAATGGGGGCCACGTGTTTCGTGTTGTTCCCTCAGGACCAGTTAAACGTGTATACTAGTGTAACCTCGCGTTATATATATCAAGAGATTATAGAATTTCAAAGTTCACCACTAAAAATACCTTAGATTATCAATTATTTTCACAGTTTCTGAAGATTAGTATTGGATTCGTTCAGGCCGCGATTATTGAAATAAAGTCAAAAATAATTTATAACGAGCAACGAGCCAACGACAATAAGCGAAAGGAAGCAACAAGGCGAAGGTAAATGAATAATGGCGAAAAATTCTGTCAAAGAAAAAGAATGACGGCGAAAAACTTAGGTTACGTGTGTCATTTGATCGTATCCCTTCTTGTTAATCCGTTTTACTCTTTTTTTTTTTCTTTTATCTGTATTATCTTCCGTACGTTTTACTCTTTTCTTGACCATTCTACATATTTTGTTACTTTATTTCTTAAATATTGCGTTGTCTGAATTTTTTTTATTTGGGTAACTTGGGGTTGTTTAGAAAGTATATAAAAAGTTTCAATCCTTTTTTCTATATTAAGAATTATTTCCTTCTTTGTTATAATCTTATAACCATCTAATATTCAGATCGTTCCTTTATTGTCCTGTATTCGCAAGATCTTGGATAAAAACAAAACAAAACATTCTTTTTCTTTTTTGGCATAATAACTGAATATGCTTACTTTTAATATTGATTGTGATGCAAAAGAATTGAAAAATCAACTGCCAATCAAACTGTAAGAACACACTGTCGAAGATAACAACAAATAATAAATATATATTGTATATTTTAATAAAGCGCTCTCGAAAAAATCAGATATATTACAAGAAAGAGTAATCTGAAGAGGACAAAATAACATCGAAATTCGAGAAAATAGAACGAAAATTCAGGGGAATGAAAAAGATATTGTTTATCTGACAAAAAATGAGATAATAATAAATTAAATAAAGTCGTAATTTTTTTGCAGTAAATTAATTAGAGAAGGGAACTTTAGGGGAGAAGAGAAAATCCCTTGAAGTTCTACAAAATTCGTTAGTTTCCCTATGCTAATGCTTTTGCTTTTTTTTTTTTGGTTTTGTTTCCATCTGCCTCCCACATGCATCATTGTAATATATTCACACATACGTATAAATACATACATAGACACACACCTAAAATATTTATTTCTTGATCAGCTGTAGGTTCTTTAAGAAATGAGTAATGATTTATTTGTTTTTGAAAAAGTTCGTTGCTTCGTTTCTGTTTGGTGATTACAGTTTTGTGATATCGTCAGAAAAAAACAGTTACGAAGAAAGAGGGCGATTAGATTAAGAAATATTAAGAAAGAGATAAGAGTGTCAAGTAAGCACATAGGTAAACTCGAGCTAGTCGGGGTACTCAAAATAAAGAGTGAGTCGTTTATGCTGCTCATGCAAAATATAGTTGTGTTAGACATATTGCCACAAAAGAGCTTCATGTACATTTTATCTTGATAACTTTTCATGCCGGCATTTTTTGTTAATGCCGCTACTCATTCGCCAATTTATTTTGGTTCAGGGTTTTCTCAAGAGATATATATATATATATATATCGATTGAGATGTGAATTTTTGAGCATCGTTTCAATGCAATAAAAAATGCAAATATGTAGTAAGATGTGATATGTTTTAGTTTCGATACATAGACCTAAGATCTAATTCTAATAGTTTATTAGAAAAAAGGGAAAGAAAAGCAAAGATAATGTAAGGAAAGAGACGATGGAGAATAAAGTGAAAAGATTGGAAATGTGAACCCATTTGGAGTTGGCAGTGAGTGAGATGGAACATCACATGCACTTATGCTCTCTTTTGTCCCTTTCCTCTTGGGAGCTTTCATTTCTCGAAAACCTTCTTCTCAGTTTTGCGCAACTCTAATCTAACTCCATTTCTAATTTTATTCTTATAGATTATGATTTTTTTTCCTATTCTTTACTTAATAATTATGTGATAATTTGATCTACCATGCTTACAGTCTCAATTATTATTGGCCAATAGTGGTAATTTCAGAAAACAATTTCACGATTGTTTCCAAGACTATCGTAGTCACCAAAAACACGATTTGAAATTTGTGACGTCAATCAATATAAAACTTCCTATACTATCACCATTTGATTTTAACCTTAGATATTTTAATTTTGAAAGAACTACATTTGCTTAGATCTTATTATATTATGTATTGCTATCATTCTTGGATGTAGTAATTATAATCTCTACACATTCGCCAGCGTAGTAAAATATTATAAGCAATCTCTTGAATTATTACTAACATCTCAAAAGGTGCAACTAGTACTATTATAGGTGGGAGTATGATATAATATTTAAACCGACGCGTATAAACTATAGTGAGTTTGTATGATAGATGCGTATATAATATGATTGTTGGAATTTGTATAAATTAAAATAAAGAGATTGAAGTGGGATTGATAGGGTGATGTGGGTCTAGGGATTCACTCCAATTCCACAATATGCAAAAGAATGTCACTTATCGTGATGAGTGATGTTCCTCGATCCCTCTGAAAGATTCACCTGTTACATTCTCCTTTATTGTCTCTATCTTTTTTTTTCTTACATTTATATACACTTTAATTTAATAATTTAATCGATTATGTATATAGATTTAGTTTGTCAAGTTGACCCACCTTGTTAAGCTAAAATTAGGGTTGGGCAGAAGACAAAATTTCGGTAAATTTTTAAGTATTTACTGTTTGGATTGATTCGTACAAATATTAAACTTAACATTTACGCTTAAAAACAAATAAACAGATAATATTTATATCTATTCATGAACAACACAAATGGGTCGTCTTAATAATGTCGTCGTTGCATCACCACCCGAATTTAATCCACAGCATGATGTATATTGGTTACGATCAACAAAGATGATTGCAAGTTTTTGGGATATTTTTTTTTATAGGTTAAATTTCATCCGAGTTGAATCTATTATGTATAGATTTTCTGTCAACTTGTGTGTATAAATTTGAGTTACACAAATTAATATAGAATTTGTTTTCGGCGATAAAAATAGATAGGTAAAAATGAGCTCAATTACTTAATTCGTAGTATTTGTTATTTGCCTTGACCATTCAGAATAATAATTCAGTCAGCCAATTAATCGCAGTCTAGAAAATATCAATTGTAATTTTCTTAGATTACCACTGATTTCCCAAAGCTGGCTTTGTTCGTAAATCAGGATGAGTATATTAGATGTTCACTACAACCTAATAGCGTACTAACATTAATGAATCGATGTAAAGTGCGGTTGTATATGTATACATTCATTTATTCCCACATTTCACAAATCTCAGGTGCAAATGAGAGAGGACCAAATTTAAATTTCGTTTGCATTTTTCGATATCCGTATCTTAAATCACAGAGCTACATAAACGAAAACTGTGCACTCTTCAATCCACTAATTGAGTAACCAGCGAAACAAATTTCTAACGCTACTAGAATCAACCTAATCCAAGTCACCACTCTAGAACTTTGCACTACCAGCCTCAGATTCCAGTATAAAGGAAATGGACTCAACGACTGACTAATCATTCAAGAAGAGACTAAGAGAGGAATGACTACTATGATCGGCTCAACATAATGTAGCGTAAAGGTTGTCAAAACCTTATATGAAATTCTAACACGCTCCAGATAATATTAGTTCATCTCAAATCGAATCCTAAAGCTTTTCTATGATTATCCTACTTTAATCTATAAATGAAGTTTTTATACATGTTAAGTATTTTAAATTTCTAACTCAAAAATTAATTGTTAATAAATAGATTATCACAAATATCTTATATACTAGTGTTAATTTTTTAAATTTTCTGATATGAGGTTCTAACAAATTTAGAAAGAAGCCAACATAAAAAAAAATTACAAAAAGCGGACTGATGCCTATTTTTTTTTCCAGAGAAATGAGACATTCTACCATGATTTAGGATGTTTGGATATGGTGTTGAGAAAGACCGATATAACTATAATCCCAAAATACTTGTAAATTTCTACCATCAGTTTGATGAAAACCATACTTCTACTATGTAAAACATAAAACATTGTGACAAAGCACTAGATCACAATTCAAGGTAATTTATCATTGGTCTATACATATTTCCCGAGGACTGATACTTTTTAAGAAAATACAGATTATGTTTTATACTATTAGGTATTCAATGTATAGAAACACAATGTCTAAACAAATAATCGCTGATAGTTTTTGGTTCAAGTTTTTGTATTTGAAAAATTAATGAAAATGATTTTATTAAAAGTCGGTCAAGGAAACTGATGTTTTTTCACACAGAAACATGATAGTTGTATAATATATGTTAGTAAGATAAAACCAGAGTAAGGACCATTTTAGTACAAAGGCATCTTGAACATCGATCTCTGTAGCAAATCTTATTAAAAAAATACTAGTAGCTATATGTTAAGTACAACTACAGAAAACCCTAGTGATACACATATAGATATACATGTACCTGTTGATGAATAGTGGCACAAATAACAATATTAAAAGTCGACAAAAAAAAACAATATTACAAATAATATAAAAATAAGGAGCTTAAAAAAACATCTGTCAAGAATCTTTGTGCTTCCATCTTTGAAAGTTAAAACAGTAATAATAGCTTCAGTAGCCAACAGCTCTTTGTCTGTACACTGCTGGTTTCAAAAGGATTCTTTTTTAAAGAAGTGGAGAAACAAAGAAAAAAAACAAAATCCAAAGAGCTTAATCAAGAAAGATATGTTTGGCAATTGTGACCAGAAGAAGAAGATGCCTATCATAAGCTCTCCCAACACCAATCCACTGGTCTCTCTCTCTCTTCCCTTTTAATTCTCTCTCTCTAAATAATATGACCCATTTATGATTTGTTTCTTAGCTTTTGGATCCGAATAATATCCTCTTGTCCTCTCATTGTTCTCTTACCTTTAGTTAAACCACACGATCTAAAAATCCCTTCTCTCTCTCTCTTTCTCCCTCTCTTCTCAGGCGAGTATGCAGAGCAAGAACATGATCGTGGCTTCGTCTCATCAGCAGCAGCAACCGCAGCAACCGCAACCGCAACTTAAATGCCCTCGTTGCGATTCCTCGAACACAAAGTTCTGTTACTACAACAATTACAGTCTCTCTCAGCCGCGGCACTTTTGCAAGGCTTGCAAGAGGTACTGGACGCGAGGTGGTACCCTCCGGAACGTTCCCGTAGGTGGTAGCTACCGGAAGAATAAACGGGTGAAGCGGCCAGCAACCGCAACCGCAGCCTCCACGGCCTCGACGACGACGACAACAAATTCTTCATCCCCTAACAATCCTCATCAGATCTCCCATTTCTCCTCCATGAATCATCATCCCTTGTTCTATGGTTTATCAGATCATGTGAGCAGTCGTAAGAATCCTCCAATGATTCCTAGCCGTTTCAGTGATTCTTCAAAGACTTCTTCATTAAGTGGTTTAGAGAGTGAATTTCTCTCATCTGGTTTTAGTGGTCTTAGTTCTCTTGGATTAGGGCTCCCACATCATATGAGTCATGACCACACCATTAATGGTAGCTTCATCAACAACTCTACAACAAACAAACCCTTTCTTCTATCGGGTCTATTTGGGTCTTCGATGTCTTCTTCGTCCTCTACCCTTCTCCAGCATCAACATAGGCCCATGAACAATGGTGGCGACATATTTGGACAATCTCATCTCCAAACCCTAGCATCACTTCAAGACCTGCATGTTGGAGTTAATAATGAAGATATGAACAAAGAAGGAAAGCTTGATCAGATCTCTGGGAACACTAATGAGTTCATGTCATCATCATCTTTAGATCCTTCAAACTACAATAGCATATGGAATAATGCAAGTGCTGTAAATGGAGCATGGCTTGATCCAACAAATAATAACGTTGGATCCTCCCTCACCTCCTTGATATAAACCAACACTTTGGTTATAGGATCGATCTATAACTAGCTAGAGTTTATCTTCATCATCACCTTTTTCTTCCTTTGTTTTTTTGAGATGAGAGAAGAAGCTTGGATCAGAGAGATCATATCAGCGGCAATGTTGATCTTGGCCACTAGCTCCCTCGGATCCTCTTCATCTCACCATCTCCATCATCTTCATTCTCGTTGTTCAAGAAAAAACAAAAGGGGTTCAAGATTGGTTCAAGGTTTACTATGTTCTACTGTTTAGTTCACTCAAGGTAAATTATATGTGTATGTACATAATATGATCCTGACTTTCATCTTCTTCTTTTTTTATCATCCATGTAATTCTAAGGTCCACCACATGGGTTGGTGCTTCTTTTCATTGGGATTAGGAGGGTATATTTGGCTTAATTTGGTTTCTCATGGGGTCCGAGAACTCAAAACTTTTCAAGTTTTGTATCTTTTTTAGTTTCACATTTCTTCTTTGGTGTGGCTTTCATTGGGTATACAAACAGGGGGAGGGGTGCGGTTTTGAGTTATTATATAACTTTGGTTATTCATGTATGACTTATGTTATTACGGTTCTTTTTTATTCATGTCTATGTATATTATATTTATATATATATATATGATGATATACTGTATATAGGACGAAGGTATGTACATATATAGATGACTTGAATTGGCTAACAAGAAAAGACCTTTAGCTAATGTATAAAATGGGAGATTTATGAATACGAGAAAATCCGCCGAACTCAAAACTGTAGAAAAGGAATATTTTCTTTTTTAACTAAGGAAAATGTAATACATTCTTTAGACCCAAAAAAAATGTATTACATTCTAAAATTCAAACTCTAACTCTAGAACTATGGAGCAGTGATCGTTGTAAAAAAAGGTTTTTTTGTATGAGTTGCATTCTTTAAAAAAAATTGCAGTCGATGAAAGCAGTTAGTACGTAGAGGCATATGGATATCCAATATATATGTATATGTACTATATACTTAGGCAGGCAAATCGAACAAACATGGTAGATATTTATATAACATATTTTGCTCGTAGTTATGTCATATTGATGATTTTGTTCTTTAGCATTTTGGCTACAAGCCTACAACTCATGGTTCCATGTATGTTACAAGCGAGCTATATATATGAACGCAAGTTTTGGTCCAGACTTGGAGTTTAGTGTGGTGTCTTTGTAAAGTGGGCACAAGTTCGTTACCAGTTTCTTCATGTCATTTTCTCTCCAATGATTCTTTTCGTGAGAGAGTTGGAGATAATTTATTCGTTAATCATTTGGGCCGAATAATCATTCATGCAAGAGTCTTTGTATTGTTTGGACAAATCGACTTTCATTTTTATGCGGATGATTTACGGATTAGATTTCAATTATCACACGATTGCATAGAATGTCCTGATTTTCTCCTCAATATTCTCTCGTTCCACGTATGCCTCGAAGCTCATAGAGCATCAGACGAATGCTCCTGCGAATTTACCGAATTATATTTAGCGATCTGCATACACACGTTTAACTGTAAAATATTATGTTATTACAATATTTTCAAATTTATAACAGATCTAGCTAAAACCGATGGTTTGTTTTTATTTGTTTTTATTTGTTTTAGCATTTCTAATATGTAAATGATGTTTTGATGAATGTTGGGAATAGTTTGGACAAATCTCTTAACGCCACGTGTAAATAAATTAGACAACTTTCTTAACGTCATTTACTTAGTATGATTTTTTGGACGGATTTACACTAAGTGGTCAGAAAAACCAACAGCCCAAATGAGATTACCTTTTCATAAAATTGTTTGGACATTACGTTAAAAAAATTATTTTTATTTTATATTAAATATGGGCCTTTTTGACTATTGATGATTTTTTTTAAAGAAAATGTTGGGCTCGTTTTCCGCCAACTTTTAATTTTTAAAAACTTAATATCGGGTTTCTTCTGGTGACCAATTAATTAAAAAAAAAAATTAATATCGGCCATTTTAAGATGTAGTGTAAAAATAAAATAATAAGAAAGGTTATCGTCCCTCTGCCGACCCATTTGAATATGGCATGCGTGTGATCCGGTATTCGTTCAAATATTAGGATTATCTAAGACCATCTCCAATCTAAATCTCTATTTTTTACTTCAAAATAGAGTAACTCTAAAATGAAGTTGTGTTTTGCTCCAATATATGACTCTATTTTTGGCTCCAAAAAAAAATATTCCTAATAAATTCTATTTTTTTACTTTTAATAACCTATAACTTTTAAAAGTTACAAAATAACCCCTTTATTTTATTTTATCTAAAATATTTATAATTTACGAATTTAATAAAATTAAATATTTATTAAATAAAGAAAATTACATAAAATCATAAAAACATAAGAAATTTTATTAAATAAAGAAAAACACATAATATCATAACACTTAGGAAATTTAAACGTCACAATTACTAAATTTTTCCCACAATGATCAATTAAAGCATTATGAAGTTAAATTTTTATGTTTATCTTTGATTTTAGCACTTGTTGTGTATTTTTCAGTTTATTTTAAGTTGTAATCTTTTGAAATAAAAATTTTAGTGTTCAAATATTTATGATTGTCTATTTTATATTTTTTAAAACTATTAAAGTCCTATAATCTTGTCAAAAAAACTTATAAACATGAATTATAAAATTTAAAAAAAAATTATTAAACAGATAGTTATATATATATATATATATATATACATGAAGACCATTTTTTAATTACATATATAAAAGTCAAAGTGATATGTGTCACACAAATATTATGTGGATATCTGAAAAAAGAAAATGCATATAATCATATATAATGTCGAGAATGTTGCTTGGTATGTTGATAAAAGGTATAAATTATGATGATTTATTATTTTAAGGATCAAGTTGTAAATAAAAAATAGTATAACTGCAAAATGGAGTATAATTAAGGTTTACTCCAAATATGGAGTAATTTTTATTTTTTTCAATTTTGCAGTAAAAAATGGAGTATGATTGAAGTAAACTTTATTTTAAAATGGAGTTTGCAGCAGAAAATGGAACAGGGTTGGAGATGCTCTAAGGATACTAAAAATCTGGTAATAAATACTGGTAGTTTCTCCAATATCTTTTGTATTTATCATATTTCTTGTTTGCATGACTTTAGTTGCATAACAATAATGATTTCAAGGGCATAAAATGCTCTTAATCTCTTTCTCTTTCGATGGCACATTTTGACATTGACAAAGGCGACTTTAGTTTTTTAATGAATACAAATTGGAAAACGATGATGCGTTTGGTCAATTCTTCATCGCTAATCTGTTAACTAGGTTTCTTTGAAAATCGAACCTCTCCATGCGAACTTTGCGAACTTTGGCTTTCTTAAGGGATATTGATCCAATTGTTGATGATGATGAAGCTAGTGAAACGGATACCACTGTTATCTCCATTAGATAATATCACTTGACTCAAAAGGATGAAAAGGATCCACTCTTAGGGTTTGAAGATTTTTTCGAATTATTTTGCCTCTAGTGATTTTAGCGATTAGCATTTTCTTTATTTTGGCCTTGAATTACTTTTGTCACTAAGGGAGATGACATGTGAACTGAATTCTGTTCTTTGTTTTTCCTATTTTTCATTGGTGTGTTTTCCTGATGGTAACTTTTTTTATAATCTTTGTTCAATATAGTTTCTTTGCAATGACAGCACCATCTCAAGTTGTTTGGTATTTCTTTTATGTTTTTGATAAAGCGGGCGATGAACGCGATGGAATACCAAAAAATTCACGTCAATATAACAAGTATGATTCTACTTAGAATGGATATAGAGTATATGGACCAATCCATTTTATGTGAATTAGTTTTGAGTTACAAATCTATTAAACTTAACATGATATAATCAGAGCCCAAATTTGACCAAGTAGGTGTGATACGATTGAAGATTTATTGTTGGTTGTATATAGACCCGACCTTGACTAGAAGCTGGTTAAACATCTGCTCGGAGTTGTCAAAGTCAATATTAATTAAGGGTATAATTTCTTTAGCAAAAATGTCAACAACTCTTTTGACACATGTATGTCTATGTAAAGAGAAGGTCATAGTTTCGACTCTTGGAAGATAAATTGTTGCTTTTTTAAAAAAAACTAGTGAGCCAATTATTTCTCTGTTTAGGGTACTAAATGTTCATGTTCGGCTCTAGTCATGCATTAGATTTTATTATTCGGTTCAAAATAGACTGATGAAAAAAATTATCACCATTTAAGAATCCATATCACCATAGAATGAATCTAAAATAATTTTAAAAACATGGAACAATCTACTCATTGTCAATCAATCATTAACAACAGCTTGAACGGTTTTTTACATGTATTTATCAATCATACTAAACCACATGTACATAGTATTTTTCATGGACCTAAGCAATGCAAGCTTGGACTTCTACCCAATTTTTTTTATTGGCCATAATTTTTATTAAAAACTTCATTATCGAACAAGTTTACTTTATAAATTTGCAGCCTTTACAATTTCAAAATCAGTTCTATCTGTATGTATATCACTAATTTTAGGTCGAATAAATGAAAATTTTGAAAAATGGTATACCAAATATGTAATTGCAGTAAAACACTTGTTTTCAGATTTTTTGGAAAAGACATGAAACTAAAATCTCTAAATATAGAACATAAAAAATTTCTCTGAATTCTAAAATTCATATGAGTATAAATATGTTTGAATTAGATTTCCGCTGAACCAACATTCATTATAATGGAATTTACGAATTGAGAAGTAAAATGTGTAGAAGCAAACATACAAAAAAAGGTTTATCAATGACCACCAAAAAAATAGTAAGAAATTACATACACGTTCAAGTTTTGACGAGTGGCCATGTCAAAAGGACCGTAACCTCCTACAGATAATGTTATCTAATTTAACGTTTTCTTGTCAGCAATATATATAATTTTTCAAATATTTTGTAAGATTTAATATGCTAAATATTTTTATCATTTTTAAACTAGAACTTGTTAGCTAGATGTTTAATTTTTCTCTGTTTCAAAACTTTTTTTTGAATTATGTAGTTATTACTCTTATTAATTTACTCATGTGATATTTATTGTTTATAAATAAAGATTCAGTAATATATAATAAAAGATAAAATCTATATTATTAAATCTATATTAATATATGTAAAAGTATATAATATACTAATTAAAAATGGTGGGAGTATTTTTCAATTCTAAAAAACCACTTTTCATGTACAATATGCAAATATTAATGCCCAATAATTAAGCTTTTACAAAATATTACTAACAAGTAATTGAACTTTTCTAAAATATGAATGGAAATTAGTTGACTTGTTTTTCAAAATATGGATGACGATTAATTCAGTTTTTCTAAAGTATGAATGACTGTTAATTGAGTTTCGTAAAATTTCATTTGTAAATATCATATTATTTTTAAATTAAATTAATTTGTCTTTTAATGGTTGAAATCAAATAAATAATATATATATATATTAAATTTAGTAAATAATTGTTTTTCCAAAATATGTAAAAAAAATTACAAAAATATTAATTACGATTATTTGAGTTTCTCCAAAATATGAATGACAATTAATTGAATTTTCTCAAAATATGAGTGACGACTAATTAAGTTTTTTTCTAAAATATAAATGACGACTAATTCATTTTTTCTAAAAGATGAATACTACTAATTGAGTTTTTCCAAAATATGAATGACGATTAATTAACTTTTGTAAAAATTAATATGTAAATATCATATCATTTCTAAAATTAAATTGGTTTGTCGTTATTAATGTTTGAAGACAAATAACCGTTTTGCCAAAATACAGATAAAGTTAAATTTATTAATTACGATTAATTGAGTTTCTCCAAAATATGAATGATGATTAATTGAGTTTCCACAAAATTCAATATGGTAATTATCATCAAAATTTCTAAAACTAAAGGGATTCATTTTTGTTCCTGATTATATATACTCAATACTCAATAGGCTCTTAACATCAATATAAGGAAGAAAGTGAAAAAACTCAAAAAAAATTCAAAGAGACTTCACAAACACTCTCTTTCTCGTAGAAAAACACAGCCAATGACGTTCTCGTGGTCTTCTGTGCCATAAAAATCATTATACACATTCAAACACCAATCTGGCGCCACATATGCATATATGTACATGTATGTATCTGTATTCATATATATTCATTTCTCTTCCTCTCTCTCCTTGTGAGTGGTGAGATGGGTATCCCTATAAGGTGCAGCATCGAACCATCTGCAAGATTTTGACTCGTTTTCTTTTGTGTTTTTCCAACATCTGTCTCTTCTTCACTCGCTCTCTCTCTATCTCTTTCCTTTTTCAATCTCCCCAACGACCCTCTCTCTTTTTTATCTTCCCATTCATAACTCTATTTATCTCTCTCTCTCTCCCCGGGAAAAATGGATAACTTCTTGCCCTTTTCCTCTCCAAACGCAAACTCTGTCCAAGAGCTCTCTATGGATCTAAACACCAATCGCTCACACTTCTCAACGGTCCCTACTTATGATCATCATCAGGCGCATCATCACTACCACATGTTACCACCGTATCCAAACATTGCATGTCCGGTGGATCCAACGGCGGTGATGAATCCTCAGCCGCTTCACTCATCGGAGGCTTTTTCTCGGTTCCCGTTTACGCGAACCGGAAGTGAATTCGGCTCTCTGGTTTGTAACCCCGGTTTGAGACAAGAGAGAGGTGGATTTCTTGATCCACACATGACGAAGATGGCCAGGATCAACAGGAAGAAGGCGATGATAAGATCAAGAAACAACTATTGCCCTAATTCTAGTTCAAATGAGTTGGTTGATTCAAGGAGACAAGTGGCTCTTAACATGAAGAATAATTCCGAGACTACCGCTAAAAAAGATCTCTTTCGATTTTCCTCATTCGATAACAAGGTTTGGTTTGGTTTTTTTTTTTTGCTGGTCCACAATATGGAAAATATGCGAATTATTTACATATAGTTTCCTCATACGTTTTTGTATATTGTGGTTGAATGTAGAAGCTTAGGGTTTTGTTGGTGAAGCACTTGAAGAACAGCGATGTTGGGTCACTTGGGAGGATCGTTCTACCAAAGGTGTGTAAATTCTTACAATTCTTTTATTCTTCGTTTACGTTGATCAAATAAATTTGTAGAATGTAATCCATAAGTTTGTCGGAAATAGACTGATGAAAGATTATCAATCACGTAACTACGAAATTGAGAACCTCAATTCCATGGAAAAGTTTTTAGAAAGGTACAATGATTTCAGGATTTAGATACCACCATTTTGAAAAAGAGATTTGTGGAACAAGAGTACATAACTCATTGCGGCCACATTCTTTCATTATGCAATTTCACCGGGATTTATTTCACACTTTTCATTCTACTCAAAATATTTATTTAACTGTTTTTTTGTTTAACCAATAAGAAGCTTAGTCTCTAAAACCACACGAAAAACAAGAGGAATATGAAACATGACAACAAATGTGGAAGGAAGTATAGTTGTTAAACAAATATTTTGTTTGTTTCCTACATAGATTTTTATGCCTTTATTTTATTTTCTAGTCCAAGTTTTGGAATGAGCACCGAAGAATGAACTTTTTGAAAGAACAAAAAAAACTAAATAGATTGAATATAGTTTCCTACAAATTTATATTCCCTGTACTAACCAATAAAATGAAATATGAGAAATAATCATTTTTGGGGGGTAAAGTGAAACTGTTGAAATGATTTTTTTTTTTTAAAATGGGGGTTGAGGTAAAAGAAGATTTAATTGAAGACAATGGATAGTTGTCTATTTGCCCGTACTAATTAATTGGCTCATACCTCGAAATCTTTATCTGTCTAAATAAGAAAGTAATTAGTTGGATAAGAGTAATTAAGTAAATCATGGCTTTGGAACGCAGAGAGAAGCAGAAGGAAATCTTCCAGAGCTATCTGATAAAGAAGGAATAATGGTAGAGATGAGAGATGTTGACTCTGTGCAGTCTTGGTCTTTCAAATACAAGTTAAGTCTCGTTTCTTTCTCTTATAAGAATTCAATTATATTTAGAAAAGCATTTTTGAATCCATTTATAATTTACCAAAAGGAAAATAAACATTTTAAGCTGAATTTTTAGTGGTGTTTTGTTAGTGATTTTTATAATTATTTATAATTTGGAACTTTTCAAATTAATGTTAGAACTAGACCACTTAAGCCTTGCATTACCTGTGAAACGTAGGTTCTGGTCCAATAACAAGAGCAGAATGTATGTCCTCGAAAACACAGGTAATTAAGGAGCTACCTAATTCTTTCAAAAAGTATTATTCAAAACAATTTTAATTTTAATTTGTTTTTCTTTCTTTTTGTGGTCAAAACTAAAGGAGAATTTGTGAAGAAAAATGGAGTAGAGACTGGAGATTCTTTAACAATATACGAGGACGAAAGCAAGAATCTCGTGAGCTCTCTTATATTAATTCTCTTTTCTTATTTTATTTTGAAAAAGACAAAAATGTTAAATAATGATTGATTAGTAGTCCAAAATTGGAAATTTGAAAAGTGGGTCATTGAATTGAGTTTGTTTAGCATCCAGCCAAAAATTTATTGCCCTTTGGACCCTTTTTTTAGTCAATGATAACTATTCATATAAGGAAGGTATAAAAACTCCAAGCCTTAAATTTTAATATAAAAGCCATTTAGAAGTGAAACGTCGATTGTTAAACCAACTGATGAAACATCTTATATGTGTTTGGTCTTTATATTACAGTACTTCTCCATTAGAAAGTACTCAGGCAAACAAAATGAAGGAAGAGAAGATGAGTCGATGGAAGTCAACGACATGAACTTCCTCGAAGATTTAACGTTTGATTACATACCAAATGACGAAGAAGAAGATTCTATTGCAATGCTCATCGGAAATCTAAACGATCACTATTCCATTCCAAACGATCTAATGGACCTCACAACCGATCTTGATCAAGCAACCTCCTCGTCGCCACATTTGGATCACCTGTCTGATGGTCACGCCACAAGTGATCACGTGAGCTCAAACGACTTCGTATGGTGATTTGATTGAAGTTGATATAGCTCTACCCTTTGAGCTAATAATATACAAGAGATAGAAAAAGAAAAGAGTATCTTTCATCATATTCATATCTATATTTGTTTGATAAAGTGTTTTTGTTGTCAGTATTAATTAAAATATATATATATTTTGGAATTACATAAGTTTTTCATTCGAACAGTATCTAAGCCGAACCCAACCTTTATTGTAGACTTTAATCGTAGCCCAAAACTATAAACGTTACTCTTAGCCCAAACGGAGCCCAAAAAGTTTTAAGATCTACCGAATCCTATCATACGAGGCGATAATATACTTCACGCAACACTTATCTGATTTAAGAAAATGCGAATTCATACTTAACATTTTGGGGGAACAAATAAAATATTTGTAACGCCCAGTATATCACCTGATAATTTAAGAAAAAGAAAAAGAAATCTAACAGCTATGAGACATTTGGGCACACATGATAATTCATAAACTTTGACATGGTACCTGTTTAGTTGAACGGAGAGAATTATAACGCGATTTCAACGAAGATGTTCAATGGCCTCCAAGTTTAAGCTTAAACATGGTTTATTTTTTACAAGATCATAGGTTACGTTTATTTACAGTGCTCATAGTAATCTATGAACGAACCTAACAAAAATATTCTCTGGATGAAACTTGCTTCCTATCGACAAAATGGAAAATCGATGATGGACATAGTTATGGGCCTTGTTTGTCTATGTGGGAGGAGCTGTAAACCTCCAGACCAACTCATCTGTGAGCTTGGTTTGCCTTTGACAAGGCTTGATGACAAGGAACAAATCCAATAACGATGTCAAAAAATGAGTAAAATCCAAGTCCATATAAAAAGTTTAGTTAATATATGCATTAAAAATTAAACAGGCTTTATGGCTTTTGTGTTTGTGAAATTAAAATGGTTAAAACAACTTCGTTCTAGTTTCGGCGTGCCACAATTGAAGCTCGTTCGTTTATTCTGTGACAACCATACTGATATTCAGATTTCCAGTAATTTAATGTTCATAAGGTTGATTGTCATAGTGTGTATATGAGGCAGTTTTTAAGAAAGATTGATTACTACTATTTTTACAGTTTGTATGAGATAATAATATCTTGTTTCTACCCTTAAAGATCATTTGCACTTTTTTGTAACTATATTTAAGAGTTTATCCAAATTTATTATTTTAAACTATATTTTTACTTACAAAAATTAATAGCAATATATCAGAATTAATAGCAATTTTCGAAAAAAAAAAATCAGAATTTTTTCGGTCTGCATATATATACGGTTAAGTGCTAGACGTTTGCGAAATATGTAAGAAAATTAACGATCTCCAGGATGCGCTCCTGTCTTTGCTCCGAAGGATTTGATTAATTGCAGAATTTCACGTGAGCTTGCTGCATCAACTGGTAGGGACTCAGTTCCCAGATATATTCTTTTATAATTGTTTAAAAGGAAAAACAAAATACCCTAGTAGTCATGGTTGACTGGTTGTAATGATCCAGTCTAAAAAAAACTTATAGTAATAGAGCCAACTGACTAAAATTTATTCGGTCATAGATCTACGCTCTCCAGATTAAATCATAAATAATTCTACATTTATAGCATTTGGAATACGCTATAAGTGAATCTCTTAAACTTCGAATCTTTAATTACTTCCAACTATATGTCTCTAGTCGTCGCATATTGACAAATGACTTTATAATTTTAAGAATGGTAAAACACTTTTTTTTACTCATATAGTCATATACAGTATATATACTCTTAAATAGTTTCAATAAATTAAACTATTGAGTTCCAACTTCCAAGTACTATAAATTCCGAAATATAAAAAACAGAGGAAGTGCAGATATTAAATGCGTAGTAGAATATGAACTAAATGCGCAATGTGGTGATCACCATGTACGTAAATGTCATGTGTGGACCATGAAACATGGAGTCATGGACTTTGCATGAATTAAATACATGAGTTCACTATAATCTATTATATAATACAGAGTTTTCTCTCCATTTAGGATCTCACCAAGAATGAAAACTAAATTTAATAACTCAATTAATTTACACACATTAATAACTATTAGTTTTCATTAAAAAAACACTATTACTACTACTAAAATTAATGATTTACTTATTTATATACTATTTATAATTCTTATATTTTTATCAAGAAAAATAATAGTAAGAACTGAAAAAAAAAATAGGAAAAAAAAGATGATAAAAGAAAATTCAAAGATGATGAAAAAAATAAAAAAATATAGGAGAAAAAAAGAAAAATCAAAATATAATTAAAACGATACAGATGAGTACAAAGTTAAAAAACAAAAAATACATACACCAAAATAATAAAAATAAGAAAAAATGAATTTTTTAAAAAAAAAAAATTAAAAGTCAAATATGATGAAGAAGACGATGAAAAAAAAAGATAAAAGATAGAAAGAAAAAAAAACACAAAAATGATGAAAAACAATTTTGAAAAATACATAGATAAAAACGTTGAAGATGAGAAAAGAGACTACAATATGAAGATAGAAAAAATTAAAATTAATGATTCAATTAATTCCCATATTTTAAAATAGTATTATTTTTTGAAAGATAAAACAAAAAATATTAGTACTAAAATTAATGACTTAATTAATTCATACATTTTTATAATAACTATTTTATCAAGAAAAAAGAAGTAAAAACTGGAAAAAAATAATAAGTAGAAATAGTTAAAGAAAAAGACGATGATGAAAATAATAAAAAAATAAGAGGAAGAAGAAATAATCTAAATATAAAGAAAAGTATGTAGATGAAGACGAAATAGACGAGAAATAATACATATACGAGATAAGTAAAAATAAAAGATAAACTAAAATCAGAAAAAAAAAAGATGAAGAAAAACTGAAAGGGAAAAAAAAGAAATAGAAGTCGAAGAAGATGAAAAAAAAATAAAGAAAATGAGGAAGAAGAACACAAAGCTGATAAAGATGAATTTTTAAAAATACAAGAACAAAAATGTTGAAAATCAGAAAGGAGAACAAAAATAAAATTAACAAACTATGATACTATAAAAATGAATAATGAGTCTAATACATAAAAAGACAAATATGATGAATTAACTGTTTTAAAAAATAAAATTCTGCGCAACACGTAGATCATAAATAAATTTAGAAGATTAATAGAAATATATATATATATATATACATAGAAATATTAATAGAAGATAATAAAAAACAATAATTAAGAGAAATTTATTGTTATATAGAACACTAATAATGATAACTAACATAATACATTGTGTTTTTTATAAAATAATATATAAAACATATAAAAACACAAACATAAAATAAAATCTGCGCGAAGCGCAGACTCAACCCTAGTGTTATAAAATTATAATGTAGAATCTAGTTCATAGAACATACTACGAGACTTCGGATCAAGAAACAGAGATATTGGTTTCGAAAAAGGTATAAATAAATAAATAAACAGCTATATTTCTATACAGTTTCAAAGAACATACAATCTTTTGGTTAATATGTAAATATCACAATATCACATTCCATTAGATAAATAGAGATTCTCTAGGAAAAAAAACTTCTAAATCATTTGACTACTGTAAGACTGGCAACAAAAATAATACAAGTGACAATATTTCTAATGAACAAATTCGTAACAATAATAACAATTAACAACTACTAGAATATGTTAATGAAATTTATTAGTACATATATAAGGGCGTCAAATACTAATAGTCTACCACCATAGTAGCCATAAATCTTGGAGGAAAATGAGGTGAGTTCACGATGCATATTTATTTGTTTTTGTTTTATCTATGTCTCATAAAAGCAAAGAGAATCATTCCAACGACAATGATGATTAGTCTACTTTGTAAATGTGATGATATATCTTTCGCGTTATCCGATTTAAACATCTTAATAATTATGGCTCATAATTGTGTTCTATCTATACTATAGGGAGACGTTAGACAAAAGCTTTGTTTAAAAAAAACGTTAGACAAAAGCATCCAAAGATACGTTTAATTTGAAGACAAAAAAAAATATTGATAGGGTACTAGGGTGGGTCCAATATTTAGTCTATCATACTTCCTACACTTTTGCAGGTAACACGAACATGTAACATGACATGTCTCTTTCCGGCCAAAAAAATTTCTCCTCCAACGGTAATAATTTAAATTACCCATACGTGAATATTGTTGATCAATGATCATTGTAGAAATAAGAAATGGTGGGTTTGGACTTATTCGTAAACCGATTAGACATTTAAGCTAAATTATATTGGACACGGAAAAAAGACAAACTTAGTCCAGACAAACGGCAGATAGTATAGTTAAGCGTAATTTGTTTAAATGTTTGAAGAAAAGCTTTTTCGATTATGATGGATCCAAATTTTGAATACGGTGGCTTGTTTAGGAATTAGAATATGAATATTTTTGTATTTTTTTGTCGTCAAATATTTTTGTATAATAGTGCTGATTGATGTATTTTCAGCAGTTGATATGGATAGATTGATAAGCCTTATGGGATATAATGAAGAAGAAATTAAAGTATTTGGAAGAAAGAGGATTGTTGGTTATTGCGGTAAAAAAAAGACACATGTTGGCCTTGAATTAGAGCTTAAACTTGTGATATAAAAATATTTGATTTGATTTATGAATTTGATTGGGAACAACCGTTGAATAGTGTAATCCATTTAAGAAAATATAAAGAGGGTTAAATTAAGTAGATGATAAAATTCAATCGCCCGTTTGATAACTGGGTTGTAAACAACATGTTTTTCCATTCGGTTCTTACCTTAATGTCAAACCTAAACAATAAGAGAACAAAGGTTCCACTTATTATTCATAACCATAATAAAAAGTAATTAAAACATAGAAAAAATAGAAAGAAGAATAAGCCAGATGGTGGCGGTTGTTATCTACCAAAATAGTTTAGAGGTTACGATGATGAATGATATACCATTTGTTCTCATTTTAAAATTGTAATTCTATTATTTTTCCATGTTTAAAATTATATTTCCAAGATCAAGCGCATTTGAGTAAACATTTGAACATCATTACGTATGTAGCGTAACAATTACAATCAAAATTAAATTTGCAAAAGAAACCATCAGTGATTATATTATTGTGAGAAAACAGTGAAAACCAAAACCAATTTGCATAAACGGTGGTTTACTTTAATCACAAATGTATCAATTGAACATTTTGTTTGCTCTTGGTATTACTAATGGTCCAATGGATAATCACTTTGACACTAATTAGCATCTCAAATTAATATCTCTACATTTATATTCTCGTGATGATTTCGTTGTGTTTTTGGTAATGTCTAAGTTTAGATGGATCACCAGTAATAACCAAAAAAAAAAAAAACGTGTGGCTATTGTTTAAAACTTGTCATAGGCGATCTAAATCTTACATTAATATAATATATATATATATACTACATGTAGTAGACTAATCATCATATAAATTAAAGAATTAATCGACGTCAACGTTTAGTTTTTACAACACCAGAAATACATTTTGTTTTGGTGTCAGAGTTATTTTTACCAAGTAGTACTACTGTAGTAGAGTAACAAATATGGTAGTGGTAACTACTGTAGTATTGTGGTAACTTATTTCATCGCTTTTAATTTATTATTTACAAAAAAAAAGAGAGTTATTTCATGACACTGAACCTTTTCCTATAAATGCACCCATTTCATAATTTCAATGCATATCACTAAACAAAATAAAACAAAACATGGGGTTCTTGGGTAAGAGTGTTTTGGTGAGTCTCATAGCACTTTGGTGCTTCACTTCCTCGGCCTTCACCGAAGAAGTAAACCATGTGACTCAAACCCCTTCCTCTGCTCCGGCTCCGGCTCCTTACCACCACGGCCACCACCACCCACATCCTCCCCATCACCACCATCCTCACCCTCACCCCCACCCACCGGCCAAAGCCCCGATTCCTCCACCAGCCAAACCTCCGGTCAAGCCTCCGACCAAAGCCCCAGTTAAGCCCCCAGTAAAACCCCCGGTTAAGCCACCAGCCAAAGCTCCGGTTTACCCTCCGACCAAAGCCCCTGTTAAGCCCCCAGTCAAACCCCCGGTTATGCCACCAGTTTCACCACCAGCCAAGCCTCCGGTTAAGCCCCCGGTTTACCCTCCGACCAAAGCTCCTGTTAAGCCCCCAACTAAAGCCCCAGTTAAGCCTCCGGTTTCCCCTCCAACCAAGCCACCGGTTTCTCCTCCGGCAAAGCCACCGGTTATGCCGCCGGTTTACCCGCCGAAGTTCAACAGAAGCCTAGTCGCCGTTAGGGGTACGGTTTACTGCAAAAGCTGCAAATACGCTTATGCCGACACACTCAATGACGCTAAACCCGTTAAAGGTTAGAACTTTTTTAAACTAAACACACTCAATACTCATATACTACATTAGTATCATTTTCACTTTCATTCTTTATTTCATATACACATATTTACTCATTAATAATCTTTAGAAAGAACTCAACTTGCTGCTGTGCTCTGCTCTGCTCTGCTGTGCTCTGCATACGCATTTATTCAATACTGTACACGTATATGAGTATTTTGTACAAAAACAATACGTACTTGATATCAAATCATGATGCAAACTTCGAAAAATAATTCAAATTTCAAAACGTTAGAAGTGGGACCACATGTACGAAATTAGTCATTGTATTGGAAACAGGTTTAAAAAAAAAGTGAGTATGTACACTCCTGCACTCATCAATCACTGTTTTTTACAGTCTGTCCCACAAATTTCACGACCCCCCAAAAAAATAATTAAAAATTACATAACTATATTCCGTTAATCCAAAATCAAAATCTAATGGATATTTCTTTATGGTTTTTTTTCGTCCAGGTGCTGTGGTGAGACTAGTGTGCAAGAGCAAGAAGAAAATAGTGGCAGAGACAACGACGGACATGAACGGATACTTCTGGTTATTGGCTCCAAAGACAGTGACGAACTACGGTTTCAGAGGATGCCGTGTGTACCTGGTGAAATCAAACGACAAGAAATGCAACAAAGTGTCCAAACTCTTCGGTGGAGATGTCGGTGCCGAGCTCAAGCCGGAGAAAAGGCCGGGAAAATCGTCGGTGGTCATTAACAAGTTCACCTACGGGATCTTTAACGTCGGTCCGTTTGCGTTTGACCCGGTCTGCCCCAAATGAATACGATGATGCTCTGTTACTTTCTTGAATACGTCATGTTCAAAGAAGTTTGAAGAGATTTGAGAGTTAAATGTGTTTGTGCGTTGGAATTGTAATGTTAGCTAGTTTTTAAGTCAATGCTTTGGGTTTTATAAATGTTTCTTCAAGTGACGTTGTTAAGTTTCGTTTGAATAAATTAGCAGCTTCAAGAAAGTGTTCGATTTTATCTAAGGTTGAGGTTACTGAAAATGAGATTACTCCATTGAATGGCACATTGAATTTGTGATTAGAAACCAGTATAAACGGAAGCATACATATGATTAATTATAAATCAAGGAATATATGACTAATTAATAAGTTGTAGTAGTTTATTTAATTTAAAGATCAGGTTAAATGGAAAATAATATTACGCTGCAGACAAAAAAAATATGATTACAAAGAACGGTGATAAGCTCGAAAGGAGGAAGAGGAATCATCGAATAGGGTTTTTACTTTCTAGTGGGTTCTTGGATTCGGAGAAAAATCAGCAGTGAAATTGTCGGCCACGGGGCTGACATTATTTCCCATCACATCTCAAATTCTAAAAGAGGACAAAAGATTAATTTAAAGATACTAAAAAGGTTACGTTAAAAAAAAAAAAAAAAAGATACTAAAAAGGGTTTTAGATTAGTTGGATCGACTCGTTGAAATAAGTAAAAACATAAAGTGATTAACAGGAAGGGTATTTACTATTTAGTGATGCACTTCACAGTAAATCATTCTTTCTACTGTGTGTGTTTGTAGTTATGTATAGTAATTGTGTAGATTGTAGTGTCATGGAACCCTGGAAATACTTTAAAATGCGAGTATCCCCCTCAATTAGCTCATAAGATGAGCTAATTCACGTGCTCGGCATGTGGCCCTTATAAATAAGTTAACCGGGTTGTTATGCATTGGTTAGGCCGTTAACATTTTGGTTCAACATAACCGATTTGTTAAGCTTAATGAATTTTATTTACACGTAGCTATTCGACTGGTTGGAGGGGAACTATGTTTTTGCTTTAAAAGCAATACTATATTCGAATTCGTGTTGTGCGCACTGCGCAGCATCAACATTTTTTTCTATTAGATTTATTGATATTCAATTTTAAAAGTAATGTTAAATGATGCTAATATTAATATATAGTGTATATTTTGACAATAAAATAATAAGTTGGTTTACCATCGATACTGTCCTTAGTCGTTTATGCTAATTAACTCTTTTTTTTTAACTGTAAATTTTGATTATAAGAAAATTAATAATTGTGAGAGTGATTAACTATAATTCAATAATGAATGTCAGGTCTAAATTCTAGTATCACAAGTGACACCAAAATAGTAAATAGAAATACTCACTAACGGGCTAGGTTTCTTAACTCGAGCTCGAATTGTAAGATAGTAGCATGTAACAAGTGTGTTTAATAAGTGTGTTAAATAAGTAGGCATGAGATTTCGAATAAAAATAATGAGCCCAGACCCAAATGTATAGAAGCCCAATGTATATCCTTAGAGAACTTGGATCACTGGATCATTCATGTGTACATTTTTATTTTACTTAGTCAACCTAATGATTAGATTATTTCTAAAAAAGGATATCTTGGTTGAGTATATATTTCGAAACGTAGATTAATACATATGTACCTTAGTATTTTATTATATTGACCAAAAGGTCACATAATGTCCCAGTCATGTGAAATATCATTGGATATTGAGTTCAACATTTTCTTCACAAGAAATTTAAGTGTTCTTTGGGAAATTATATCGTTGTTATAGGACTTAGTCGCTACCTGTATCATTTATTGCGAGACTAGAACCATAGACAATGATGAGTCATACCAAGAGTGAAAAAAATGCTTTAGCAACAAAACAAGAATGAGCTACACAAGTCCGGTCAATTTTTAACTCTTAGTCATATAGAATTTTCTAAGGAGAAGATGTTTTCATACTTACGCCATACAGTTTTATAAATATGGAAACAGAACCAATATATGTATTTCAAATTTTTGTAGTAGTAATTTGTGTTATGTTTTCAAAATTTCAATATAAAAGATATGAATTTTGAAATTTGTTTTTCCTCAAATTACGAATACATATCTGAATTTTCAGATCAAATGGAAAACAGAAACCAAATGAAAGTAAAATAGAAGGAATTTTCCTTTGACGATACGCTCCACGATCAGCGCGTGAGGTAGACTCAAAAATTAAGAAAGAAAAAAAGATAGTGACTCAAGAGCCAATAGTGCCCACCGAAAACATTTTTTCTTTTCTTACCGAACCAAACAAAGCTTATTAGAACAAAACACATTTTTCTCCCTCTCTCTCTTACTTGCTCTCTCTCTCTCTAAACTCTCTCTCTATCTCAATGGAGAATTCGCCGAGATACAGAGATGCTACAACGAATCTGATTCCATCGCCGAGATGCCACAACAGCAGCAGCTGCAGTATGAGCAGCAGCACTGAAAGCAACAAACCACCCACAACTCCGACCCGACACGTAACCACTAGATCCGAATCCGGAAACCCGTACCCGACAACATTCGTCCAAGCCGATACTTCTTCTTTCAAGCAAGTCGTTCAGATGCTAACCGGATCCTCCGAGAGACCCAAACACCACGCCTCCTCTCTTAAACCCAACCCGACCTACCAACCCGACCCGAGATCCTCCTCTCCTTCTCAATTCTCAATCCCTCCGATCAAAGCCGTCCCAAACAAGAAACAGTCTTCTTCTTCTTCAGGCTTTCGTCTCTACGAGCGTCGCAATTCGATGAAGAACCTCAAAATCAACCCGTTAAACCCGGTTTTTAACCCGGTTAATTCAGCTTTCTCGCCCCGGAAACCCGAGATCCTCTCTCCGAGCATCCTCGATTTCCCGTCTCTCGTACTCAGCCCTGTAACTCCTCTTATACCCGACCCGTTTGATCGATCCGGGTCATCGAATCAGAGCCCCAACGAGCTCGGGTTCGCGAAATCGGGCACAGATGCGGAAGAGAAAGCGATGAAAGAGAAAGGGTTTTATTTGCATCCGTCTCCGGTGACAACTCCGATGGATCCGGAGCCCCGACTTCTTCCTTTATTCCCGGTGACTTCACCTCGAGTCTCAGGTTCTTCATCGGCTTCTACTTCATGAAAAACAAAATTCCTAATTTAATTTTTCCTACTCTACTTTTACTTAATTTTTTTTAATCCTTTCCTTTGTGATCTTAATTATATATTATAATGGGAATTGAGATGAATCCTGATGAGAATTATATACGAGAAAATTTGTAATGCTGAGATGAGATGTTTGCTAAGCCAAATCGCGATTTTTATAATCCCTATGGTTAGTTTTATTGATTTGTTTGCTCATAGTTGCCCTTTTTACTTCATTCTGGATAAATTAATGAATGAATCAGATATTCAAATATGAAATTTAGATTAGTGTTTCATTCCACTTCTATTTGTTCAGTTAGTTGTTTGCTTTGAAATAAGTTCATATCATAAGAAATAAGTTCATATCAAATAATTACTTTTAGTGAAAGTTAATTTTTGTATAGTGGGAATGGTAAACATTTACTCAAATAAGAAAATTGTATTATTCAATTCACGACCAGTTTTGTATCCTTCATTTTTTTCAGCAAACAATTGATCAAGAGATTGGTCTTAGAGAAAACCAAATTGGTCCAACCTTCTTTTGCCAAGGATTTGATGAAAAAATGGTAACAAGGGAAATGAGTGTGAAAAAAGGAGTTTTTTTGTTTTCTTTGAAATACTACTATACTTTATTTCTTCTTTTCTCCTTAAAAAAAGGAGATTACAAATTGAAAAAGCAAGAAAAGAGTAAATTGGATAGAAGGAAGAGAAAGAGTGGGGCTTAGCTGTCTAAAGAGAGAGTATTAATTAAGGGTAAGGAATCTTTTGACTATTTTTTGCTTCATCTTTGTTTTCTTTGATATCATTTTCATGATGTGCTTGGGTTTTTCCTAGGAAATGACCTCTTTACCTATATTTCTAGCCTAATAATAACAAATACACATACAGATTTAAACCGTCTCGTATGGTGATTATTGGGTTATATGCTGTTTATACAGTTTGGTTACAGGCTGATACATCAATTTAATTTTGGTCACTGTTGGATATAATATCTTGGGTCAATCATGGTTAAATTTCATTTTCAAAATTTTAGTTGAAAGTGGACTAAGGCAAAGGCATATGGAGTGAGGTAATGGGCATATGCAAAATGTGGCCCCATCATTCTTAGTTTTGTTTTTTTCAATTACGTCCTTTGAATATTACTTGGTCAAAGACTCAAAGGTTTAGGAGAAAGAGTGGAAAAAAAGAAAAGAAAAAGAATTGGGGCTCTTGAAACTTTCAAAATTTAGGTGTTTTAATTGGTTGCACAAACTGGTAGGACGTGGTGTAATAGAAGCAATTAATAATTAAGAATGTCATTAAATGGTCTAAAGACCAAATTAAATTAAACTTGACTCAATCTCTCTAATATGGTGGACCGTATCTATCTCTTTCTTTCTCTCTCTAAAAGGTTGAAAATTCTCATGTGAAGAGAGTTGATGTTGAGGACCCACTTCCACTAGTAGTGGTGCCACTGAGAGCGATTGCGGTTGACCCATTTTAATTTTCTTTCTTTTAATGAATTCATAGAAATATCCTAAAAATAATTGTTCCTCTTTTTTTTTTCACTCTTTAGTGAAAACAATTTTTGTTGATGTATTCTATCGGTAATCTTACCCACTAGAATCCAATCCCTTTTTTATAATGATGCTGCACCTAAAATATTATACCAAGATGTAGATGGCAAGTGCTTCTTTTTTATATATAGAAATAATAGGAATATATTCTAAACAACAAAAAAATGAGGAAAAACCACAAATGCGTATAAAAACTGTGTAAAATCTCATATTCTAGTATTATAAAATTAGATCCTTTTTTGTGGTTTTATAATAAAAGCAATAAAGAGAAGTCAAAAGTAATGGAGATGTGGTATGAATAACAATAATGTTTTCAAAGTTAGGTTCTCATCTCACTTCAAAGTCTTCTTTTGCTCTTATTTTTTTCAATGACTTTTGAAAAAGACCATACTGAATGAAGTAGTAGTGCAGGTGGGTCTTGTGACCATGAAGCTTCTTCACATTTCCTCAGACAAACAAACAAAAAAATAACTTTATCTTCCTTATAATAAAGCCAGCAAGCAAATGAGTCAGAATACAGAATGGGCCTAAGTGAAGAACAATAGAGTCTATTGTCCGATGAACTTGAAGCTGTTTTGAGTACGACCGGTTAATACCCTCAGGCCTCAACTGAATAAGTTTATTACTAATTTTCTACTCATGAACAAATTTAACCAAAAAAAACACTGACAAATTCTAAGTTAAATTTGAAGTTTGAAAGATTCTTTTGTTTTATAAGTGTCGTGTGTGGAAAGGAGTATGAATTTTCAGTTCAAAACCAATTATCAAAAAGTGCTTATGCAGGTGCAGCTTATTATCCATAACCATATGACATTTGTATATCGTAGGTTAGATAATTTCTTATTTCGATCAAAATTTTAACACTGTTCTTTTAATTTTTTTGGTAAAACAAATACTTTTTCATTACTTAGGAGCCTCAAACTCTATCGACAGAGTAAAAAGTGCAACTAACAAAAGGGAGAATACATGAAAGCAAAGCAATAAATACCGAAAAATAGATTGGCAATACAACTCATAAAAAGCCATAAGAAATCGAAAAACTAAAACGATCTCATGACTTCTTGAAAGACTGCATCCAATGCAACCCAAAGGGTTACAAACACTGCATCACAAGCAGAGAAAACCATCAGCCGGGAGGAAGAACCTTGCAATACCGACGATGCTTGAACATCCAAACCATTCAACAAAGGAGGAAATATTGGAAAGAGAAACTTCTCCATAAAGGAGGTGACGGGACGAAGACTCGCTGGCGCCGACAAGCCAGATCTGACGGAGGAGAGCAGAGGAGAGCGCAGCGCTCTAAAATCAACCATCCAACGAGTCATGGAGACGGCGAGACGGCGAGATGATGTGTGAAGACAGCTTGACGACGAGAAGCAAACGAGCAACATGATGGGAGAGACTGAAGACGAGACGACGGGAGAGACTGAAGACGAGACGACGCGGAGGAGAAAGGTGTCAGTCCTTTCTCACGGCCAAAGGCCGGAGAAAGGCTCGACGCAAGGAGGCAGATCTGAGTAAAGGAGGAGGGGAGAGGCGGAGCGTCGACAAACGACCGGTGAGAGAGGAGGAGAAGCTAGATCTGAGCAAAGGAAGGAGGCGCCTAGGGAGGTGTGCCCGGGAGAGTTTTTTGTGCTTTTCTGAATACCAATTTTAACACTGTTCTAATACTCAAGTATTAAACTATATTTGAAGCGTGATTACTAATGTAGCCAAACTATGCTGTCACTCTTTCAGCTCCAAATTGTCGTCAACTCTTAGGTTTAGTTTTAAAAAGAAAAAGTGTTTCTAAGAAGTTGATTAAGGTTTGATTTGACTATTTGAGATCTTAAATTGAACCCTAAAACACTTTCTCCTAAATATGAAGGTGCAGCTTTGGGTTTGGACTTGGGCTTTTGCAATCCAAAAACTCAAGTATTTGAGATCCCAAAGTGAACCCCAAAACACTTCTCCTAAGTCCTAACCATTACTTAGTTTTTTTTCATTATTGTCACGTCATTCCGACAAAAGTCGTGTTTTGATATGTAGTTACAGTAACAGCGGACGAAGTCAATTCGTGATTTGTTATAATAATAATACGGTATTTGAACTGATGTGATGTTATCATGATTTCAACGTTTCATGTGGATACATCCAAAAATCTTACTCTCCATTCGGAAATATAAGCATGAATCGTATGATTTCTCATCAATCCAAGGTTGGCTACCACCTTTTCTTGATAACATAAGACCTAAATATTCCATTTACTAGTCCGGTCAAGTTGGATCTATAATTAACAATCTCAAAGTTATTAATTTTGTGGATTTCTAACTCAAAACTAATTAACAATAGTAGATCGTCTCATGTAATATATTTATAAATTCTATCACAATCCAATTTGAGATCCAAACAAGTTTATGTGATTACTTTTCTGTTCCATCTCAAACCAAATATCATTTTTGGACCAATAATAAGAGCATGATTAATGCGGTCTTTACAGCGTTTTTTCCAGAAACTTAATAATTGTTTAATGATGCAGCGTCTCCAAATAGCCCGAGACGTCTCCTATTTGACGACATTTTTACTCGTTTCTACCGACACGTGGCGGGCTTCCATTGGTTAAAAAATAAAAAAAATTATTTTTGTTTTCTACCTCCTCCTTCGATTTGGCCATTTATATAACAATTAAGTTTTTTTGTTAATTTGTAAGTTTAGTTTGTTCAAATTTAAATGCATGTATTGTTAAGCTTTAATGAAATAAGTTTGTTTAACAAATTTGTTTTATTTTAATTTGGTAAAAAAATTTTTTTTTGAAAACCCATTTGAGTCTCTCCATTGCACACCTAAAACACAAAGTTTCTAGAATAAGTTTTTAATCTCACTTTTTAATCAGAAACTAATTAAATAATGAGCTGGAGACTCTCATGGGTTTCTCCCATTGAGGTTGCTCTAAGCTCTATTAGACCACTCATGAGCTATGGTCAAACTCGAGCAGATACATGTTACGCTTTATGAATTTATAATTCAAAACTAGCTGATAGTAGATGGATTGATCCATAAGTTTTATGTGTTTGGAGATGAAATACAAAAAGAAAAAGAAAAGAAGGAAAAGAAATTTAAAAGCATTTAAATACTAAAACATCATGATGTATATAATAGACAAACGGAACTTAATATATGAACGAAACGAAATAAAAGGACAACAACAAAGGAAAATAGGCGATATATGAAAGAATCAAAAGCTTATATGCATCATGATGATGATTAAATAAATAAAAAAAAGAACAAAAATAATAATCAAAAAGAAGAAAGAATCAGATCATACATATAACATAGGGTACGTTAGGAACGAGAAATCAACGATCAAGAATTAAGATCGAAAGGTGTTGAATCAAATCTTTCTCTCTATATCATTTTTTTTCTTTCCTTCTCATTTAGCGTACCTATAGCAATGCGTGATCGCACTGCATCCACGCCTATAAGGATTATTCCTTCTCCTCTTCTTGCAATCGTAGTAAGATCGGCCACGTCTATTGCAAGGCACATTGTTCTTTTTAAGAGCATCATAGCCAATGTAACGTCTTCCTCTTGCAAGTTGACGACGGTTTGTCTCTGAATCCATTAGAGATTCGAGCTCATCGTCATCTCCGATGCAACCTTGCCCGTTGATGCAAGATTTAGTCAATGGATATGTCGCGTTGACGGATTTTGCTACCATAGCTAAGATCAATAGGCCGAAGATGAATAACAACTTGACACCCATTGTGTGTTTTTTTTTTTGGATTTTTTTGTTTGTTTGTATAGATGAGTTATTATTATTACTCTTTTGCTTAGGTTTTTGGTTTCTTCTACGCCCTTTCCTTGTGAAAGGAGAGGGGAAAATAGAAGTGTGAGAGATTGTGCAGAAGAACCAATGAGGAATTTGCTTTGGTTGAGGATAAAAAAAGGGCTATAGACAGGTAGAGTGCGATTTTTTGCTTTTTGTTATTTTGTGGTCGTTAATTCTGTTACTTTGAAATTGGGGTTTTAACCTCTTTTTCAGGTCTGATTTTATCCATATTTTTCGCTCAGTGGTTAGATCTAAATTTGTTAAGTTATATTTGGCTCTCCTTTTTAATCGGCTAACTAACCTTATTCTGTTTTTTATTAGAAAAAATATTAAACAAATGCTCAAATTAGCTTGTAATTAAACGTAACCAATTCAAAAAACTAAGAGTGAGTAGTATAACGCGTACGATCTATTGAATCTTGGTTCTAGAAGATGTACAGATCATAGGTTCTTGGATTTCCGTCAAACGCAAAAACTTCCGTCAGTTGTTCAGATTTTTTCATGCATGCATGTAAACATGTTTGAGAAGGATATTTCATCTCTAACAAGATTATTTATTCTCATGAATCTCATGAGCACATATTATAGATTTCCTTGGATCATTGGATTATATACTATCGCTTGACCCTATGTTTTTCAATCTTTTTCCTTTTCATATGTGACCTGTTTTAATTAGGCAGATATAACATGAAGGATTTAGAAATGGACATTCATGGTTCTTATAGCAGTCACTGAATGGCCAAGACTGTTTTCTTTGCCCAACAAATTGTTTTGGAAATTAGCTTCCAACTTCTAACGTATGATCTCTTGCCACTTGTGTACGAGCTGGTCCAAATTTAAGTATTCGTTCAATAGTTTGGCTCAAACCAGTATGTCCGCATTGAAAACAGTAGATATACAATAAAATGACAATTAAAGACTTACGAAGAGGAAGAAATGGGAAAATAAAATTTCAAACGTCTCTTGATAGTTTTCGAAGGTTTACTTTGTTGTTTGTACGTAGACACCATCATGTGGTGCCTTTGAATATAGTTCCCAACAATAACTTTTTCTGCTATAGAAAATAGTCAATAAACAAATAAGGCCAATGTATCTATATATATATATACATATATATATCGATATCAATCATCAAAGATATTTCTTCTCTTTATTTCTTTTAATTGGAAAAAATACTGTACGAAGAAGCTGTGCTGGTATATTTCCATTCAATTACGTGCACAATTTGTCTTTGATTTTAATTCGAAGGGGTCCATCTATAACAAAAAAGACACGTCATTTTTTAGAGGTGATCATGTCAAGTGACAAAATATTGTAAGAAACCTGTGATTTGCGGAATATCAATTTCTAATTGGACTTGTCTAATAAAAAAATAAGCTTTAGCCTTTAGGTGAAGATTTCGTGGAAATTACTTGTTATCATTTTTTTAATCTCTAATTGTTTAGATTATCATATGCAAGAGTATAGCAATCAGCAGAAAAGAATATAATTGGTCGTGGAAATCTTACCAGAAAATACATGCAATTTCCACAAGACATTAATCTATACTAGTTTTACAAAGTATATGACATTGAACTAGATAGAGTCTATTCAGTGAAGAGTTTGTTTCAGTCTATTGAGTTTGCGTATTTTGTAAGATTATCTATATTTATGTCATCTTAGTCCCTTTCTACAAATCATAGTGAATTATCAAAAATATAGAGTTTCAACTTTGAAACCCAACTAGAAAATATAATGGAGTTCAGACGCTTAGGGTGTGATTGATAACACTGCTCAATTGCTAATGGTGAAAAAAAGTTCACGGGATAAAATAATTTTGTTTAAATTTTATTCTTTTTATCATGCGTAATGATTTTTTCTTTATATTTTTATTAAAAAAATGTATATTTTTATTTATTTTTTTTATTTTGTAGAGTTTTATTAATTAGTAAAATACTTGCGTAAAAGCATAATTTTGTTATTCTACAAATTACCAATCAAAATTTTATAAATGATGATCGACATAGGTAAAATTTAATAAAATTTTCAAAATAGAAGAAAAAAATTATTTTGTGGAATACTGAATGTTTCAAGAAAAATAAGTTGAATAAGACAGTTATTTTGTAGAATAGTACATCTATCAAAAATTAAAATTGAATAAGACAATTTATCGATTTTATGACAAAATTGAATGTCTCAATAACATGAGATTTGTTGAAGATTTTTTTTATTTTGTTTTATACAGTAAAACCTCTATAAATTAATACTCGATAAATTAATAATCACTATAAATTAATAAATTTTTCTGGTTCCGAGTTGGGTCAGTGTAAAAATCTATCAAATTCGATAAAATAATAAGATAATAAATTTTTTGAAACTCTTATGTAAATATATGGTCCCAACATAAACATAAATTAATAATTATATAAATTTATGTATATATAGGTAAAATGTAGTATACTAAAATATGTTTAATGTTGTTCATTTTTATTTTAGTTTGAAATTTTATAGAAAATCACCTCTTTATTTATTTACATTAATAGTTTATAATGTTGTTTTTTTATCTCCATTCAAAATTTGTGAAAAAGTTAGATGTGATAATTGATTATCTTACGCATAATTGTTTTAAAATATATTATGGCATTATCTTCAATTTCAGCACTAACATTACGGATAATAGCCATAAATTTTTTATAAATTTTGTAGTAATGAACGTTTATATTCTTATATAGATCAGTCCACAGTTAATAAATATAAACAATTATTCTTTTGCGATTGCTATGATTAGTAATCATAATTTAAATTTTTATATATTATTTTATAAGCATATGAGTTTTGATTTTTAAATATAACATCATTTGAAAGAAAATTTAAGAAGAAGATGGTCGAAAAACAATTTTTTCCTATAAATTAATAATTATTAATTTATAAATAAATTAATATCACGATAAATTAATAAAATCATGTGATCCTAACATTATTAATTTATAGAGGTTTTACTGTATTAAGTTTTATTATTAGAATTTTTTTTTTTTATCGACGGATTCCCCAGTATAACAAACACACCTAGTGGCTCTAAAGTCATGAGATAGTTAAAAATTGGAAAGTTTGGCTTAAACGTCAAGGAATATTTAAGAAAGTGGGTAACTTTCAATTCATTAGGAACTTCGCTTTAAGAAAATTAGTTAATTTAATTAGCATGGTTAAATCTAAACAATCATTGGAGAAATCTAAGGAAGAAAAAAAAAAAGATGAAGGAGAAAGAAATCAATCGTTGGGCACTTAGTAGAAGAAGTGGAATAATGGATTAGATATGTATCCACCTCTGTATCTCCATCTCCATCATCATCATCATCAAGTTAGCATCATCATCATTATCATCAATTCAGCTACCTTTCTACTTTGTCTGTTTCACAACTGAGCAATCTATCTGCCAAAATCCTTTCTTTTTCTCTCTCCCTCTCTCTCTTTCTCTCTTCCATGTGATAGACTTCGCTTGGCTTCTTATGCCTTTACTTGTTCCCATCCCCAACGTCCGTACGTCAAAGTTTCTTCTGGTAAAGTCTTCTTCTTCCCTTCTTCGCCTTTTTGTTTTCCGTCTAAACAATCACTTTCTCTCCTCCGATTTTCTTCTTCCCTTCTCTACTCTCTTTCTCTGATTGTGAAATCTCTTAAAAGCTGATGTGTGTTCTTCTTTCCTTTTCTTTTTGTTTCTTTTCCTCTTGATGATTTTGTCTCTGTTATTCTTCTTGAATCTAGCTACTTGTTTTCTGGAAATTTCATCTTCTTGGGTTTCATTAATTTCTCTTAAAGCTTGTGACTTTGAGCTTACCCATTTCAGGTCGATCAAAGTTTTCTTGTAGACCAAGCAGAAGTTTGTTGAATAGCTATTTTGTAATTTCTACAGTGTCTTGTCCTGGATTTTCGCTTATGACATCTTCTCCTTCTTCTTTCTACTAGAAATTCTGAAACTTTGTTAGTTTTCATTGTTTCTCAGGATGCTTTTTTTGTGCTCTCTGTCTTCCAAATTTCGAACACTTCTCTGAGATATTTGTCTGATTCTAAAGAAGATGGAAGCTTCTAATGCCGATTCAACTCATCAGAAACAAAATCCTAATTTTCTTGTAGAGGTAAGTAAACCCACCTTTTAAGCTTTTGCTTAACGAATCTTACTGTTGATACACAATTGATGAAATGTTATTTTCTCTCTCAGGTAAACAACATTGAGAAACAGCTATGGACATTAATCCATTCAAAGGGTATATTGCATCCAGATGTTTCGAAATTATACGCGAAAGCTGGTTCGACATACGAGCAGATCTTTGAAAGCAATCTTCAACACGAAGAGCTTCAAGAAGTAGAGTTCTGTCTCTGGAAACTTCACTATAAACACATCGATGAGTTTCGTAAAGGCGTCAAAACAGATGATCCCGCCAAGATAGGCACTCATATGAAAGCATTCAAGTTGTTTCTGTTAAAAGCGGCCGAGTTTTATCAGAATCTGATTTCCAAAGTCAGAGGATATAGCTTCAAGCTCTCTGAGGATTCTGGGGAAAAAGGGGAGAGAGATTCACAAAGAAGCAGATTCTTGTGCCATCGTTTCTATATTTGTCTTGGAGATCTCGAAAGGTATAAAGAGCAATATCTGAAAACACATGAACATCCTAATTGGTCAACTGCAGCTACTCACTATCTTGAAGCTTCAAAATCTTGGCCTGATAGTGGAAATCCTCATAACCAGGTAACTACTTATTCTTCCATTACCTTTTCTTTTGTTTTGCCCATTTCTGAGTGGTTTTCTTGCATCATTTTGTGTAGCTAGCTGTTTTGGCGACGTATGTTGGTGATGAGTTCTTGGCTTTGTACCACTGTGTGAGAAGCTTGGCTGTGAAAGAACCTTTTCCTGGTGCTTCGAACAATCTTCTTTTGCTGTTTGAGAAGGTGATTGATTTCACTCTGTTATCTGCAATTGGATTGTGTATGCCTTACTTTGCTCTAAATGCTTGTTTTAACTACTGCAGAACAGGTCTTCTCCTTTGCGGTCTCTGTCTACTGATGCACAGTTCAACTTCTTGAACCCATCAGAGAGATATGTTTCTGTGAAGGACCGTGATTTCTCAAAAGCGAAAGGAGAATTAATGGCTGCAATTGATTTATGGCCACTTGTTGTTCGAACAATTGGCTTCTTTTTCCTTAAGTCCAGGTCAGTTCGGATCAAGAGTAAGACTCTATTGAAGTACAAAATTTTCTGTTCTTTTAGCTCAAGTTCTTGATGACCCTTTTTTTCAAAATTGTTCTTCTCTCTAATTCTTTCTGGCTTGTTTCAGTTTTGATGAGTTTGGTTGCGCATTTGCATCGGCCATGAGAAAATTGGATGAAGCGTTTGCAGCAGATGATATAAATTTAGAAGCCATGTTGGAGTCTTATCAAGTCTTGGACACGGCGAGAAAGGGACCTTATAGAATCCTCCAACTTGTTGCGGTTTTCGTCTTCATCTTCCACAATTTAGCCGAGTTTAATGAAGTAGACAACGCGGAAGAGGAAGTTAAGCTAACAAATTTAGCATTAACAATGGTGTTCATCGTCATGGGGCGAGTTGTTGAGAGATGTTTGAAGACGAGTCCCTTGGATTCTTGCCCTCTCTTACCTGCTCTACTTGTATTTCTAGACTACTTACCGTTTCTGCTTCACAAGGCTGAAGAAGACGAAGAAGAAAGCAGAATTGATGAGAAGAGCGAGATAGCGATATCTTACTTCTTTGGCAAACTCGTTGATTTCTTGAACCGGTTAAAGGTGAAAGACGAAAACTGCTCTGCTAAAACGTTGGTAGCTCTTTGGGAGGATCATGAACTGAGATCATTGGCTCCTCTGGCTCCTATACAAGTACTTTTAGATTTCTCAAGTCACATGGATCTAAGAGAGAGTTCTGACAGAGGGAAGGAGCTTCGTCTTCAACGCATTATTAATTCCGCTCTTAAGATCACAAGTAGACAGAAGAAGGGTTCTCAAAAGTGGTTATTCTTTGACAAGCAAAGGACTCAATTTTACACAACTTCAGGTGAATTGCAATGCAAAGAAGAGATCTTTCATGGAAATGGAGAGGAAAGTAACAGAAAATGTGTCACTATAGGAACGGTTGAGATCATTCCTAGTGAGATTGAAAGATCTGTGCCTGCAGAAGAAGAAGAAGTGATCCTTCTTAAGCCGCTTGTAAGGTGTCAATCTGCTCCAATCTGTTCTTCTGGCATTGAGACGAAGCCATTCAGCGCCGATAACACAACTTCAGGAAACCAAACAACTTCATATGATGAAAGCCTAAGACGTACCTCATCACTCATTGTGAACCACAGCCCACAGGATACTAACTCTGAAAGTTTCAGCTTCATGCAAGGTCTTAAGGACACGGATCAGAAACATTTGCATCTAGAAGAAGGCACTGTCTCAGGAAGACCTCCATCGCTGAGCGCATGGGTGGTTGACAAGAGTAAAGAGAATGGAAGATTTGGTTTAAGTAAACCAAACGGGTTGGGCCCTATTGATGAAACAAGTCCTGTCACATCCTTTGATAGTCTCTCCATCAGTACCAGTATCGAGGAGCCTCCTTTTGTGTATACACCTCCTACTCCGTCTGCTCCTTTACTGCCTGAAGACGCTTCTTGGTTTCATAATGGCACTAGTAGTAACAAAGCAGAGAGTTTATATTCTCAGACAAGATTCATGAAGCCATACACAAACCCGCCATTTGTTGGGATTTCTTCTTCTGAATGGTTACGTCGATACAGAGAAAGTCGGAATCTTGGACCAGCCTATTCTTATCAAGCACAGGGGACAAACAATTTGAAGAACTTCTTAGCTCATGGGTCTTCCAAGTTCAGTCTCTTAGCTAGGTACGGGACACCAAATGATCAGTCGATGATCTCTTCTGAAAACTCAATGTTGTATCCTCAGACTTACATGGAAAACCGTGAATCTAAAGGAGAGAAGCTCTGCAACGGTCAACAAAGCCCAACAAACGGTTATGACTTCAGTGACGATCCTGGACCGTTCCTTCGATACCTGAGAGAGAAAGAGTGGCTGAATGAGAATGGTCAGAGGTTAAGAGGACCTTCTCCTGCATATATGAACAACTAAACATGTACGAGTGAGTGGGTTTATAAGAAACTGTCTCAGGTAAGCAAGTTTTGACAACTCATATTGTCTTGTCTCCTTGTGCTATTGCTTAATTTTTCAAGATAATGAAAACCCGAATTAAGAAAAGGTTCTTGTTGTACATAAGCAAACAAATAAAGGAAACTTCCTACGTATTTAAATCAATCAAGTTCTTTTGTTTCTTGAGGAATAATTTGAGTTAATTCAGCCTTGAAACCATTATAAACAAGGTTACGTATGAAAACAATCAATCCATAACAATCATCTTCTTACATGGGAGGAATAAACTTAGTCTGAAAATAGCTTCCGAGAAACAGAAACAAATAAAGGGGAACCAAAAAAGTAACTAATGTTGGGGAATTGAGCAAATCAAACCCTGATCAAGATGAGGTTCTTGTCTCATTTCCATTGCTGCTTGTGCTTGTGCTTCCTCAAGCCAAATAAAGAAAATAAAAGAAGAGAAGGGAACCAAGGAAAGAATTTGAGAAAACAAAAGCCGATGTCCACTTTCGTTGCACAAATCCAAATCCTCCTATTTGCTTGATCTCTCTACTGTTGAATGTTCTGTTACTTCTGTGTCTGCGTCTGAGTAAGTACAAATATACTGTGCTCGATCATTTGCTTTTATCAGTAGGTGACAAGTTCAGGTCCTGCATTTGCGTCTCTACTGGTACCAAGCCTGTCTGAGCAAGGAACCTGCAGAACAAAGGCATTGTAACTGGTAAGCAACTAGTGAAGGTTTTATAAGCTCCCCAAGATGCTAAAAGACTCCATATTTTCGACAACATTCATCTCTTTCTTTCATTTTTGTTTCAACTCGCAATTAAAACTTTTAGCATCTTATAAACCTTAGAGAACACACGGGTCACTGTAAGATGACACAAAGATGAGATCTTTTCCATTGATATACAGAATCCGTATATGATATATCTAACTCAATTTCACAAAGTAGAACCATGAGACAGTAACAACTTAAGCTCCTAGATTTTAGCTTTACACACACAAACACACACACACATACACAATCTATTACCACATGAGAGACTTGATAACAGAGAACAATTCAAGCATTGATCAGCGACAATAAGACACTAGAGAAAGCATTGGATCAGATCTATAACGAGGATGAATCACTTGTTCAGACCATCGAGACCCTAGATAGTTCACAAAATTGAGACAAGAGAAGCGAAATCTGACATACCAATTGAGGAGGAAAAAGAGAGTAGAGGCGATTATAATGAGAAAGCCAACATGAACAAGCAACATGGATTGGCCACTGGTGAAAGCTATGGAGAGCATGAAAGTGAGACAGAGACCCAGCAGAAGAAACGCGAATTTCAGAGTGTTCCATGTTGGAGCCTGTAAAGAAAATTCCGATCCAACTAGGGTTTTAACCAAAGAAACAAAGGGTTAAGAAGATAGAAGAAGCAGAGAAAGGCCTACGGACATTAACGCCTGGAGCGAGAGCTCCAAGAAGAACAGCTTCCGTTGACGAAACCTCTGATTTCTTCTTCTCCATTGTTCTTAGCCCACGAGGAATCTGGGTTTTCGCGGAAACAAAGATATTAAAACCGATAAATTTATAAAACCGAAACGGTTCCTTCCGGTATATTGCGGTTTTCAACTTTTGGTTTGATCTTTCTTTTTCGGGGATGGGGATATGTTTTAGGTTTTTTTTGGATAAAATGTGAATTTATATTAAAAAAACGGAACCATTTCTTACAATGCTTGCCCAAGCAGTTCGGTTGAGATAGGCCTAAAAAAAAAACAACGAACCAAAATTAGATAAAAACTAATACATTAACAACTAACTATAAATAAACCATATCGAGAAGAGAAGGTCTCTTCCTGATATGAGCCAAAAGGATGTCTCTAATTGAGCGATCAATGGACCTGAATGTGGACTCAGGAGTCTAAGCAATCCCGGTGTGAAGACGAGTGTTCCTCTATCTCAAGAGAAAATAGATTGTAGCCTGAACCACCATGCGTTTGAAGAGTTTAGGAGAAGGTCGACTCCTAGAGAAAATCTAACTAACAAGAGAATCCAACTTGAGAAGATCGAAGGCGGGTGTCCGAGTTTGATCAAAACCTTGTGCCAAACCTGAGCGGTGTACTCACAGCGGAAAGTAGGTGATCACGAGTTTCTTCAAACAAACTGCAAAAGCAGCAGAGACCCGAAGAGATACTCATTGCACCAATCTTGCTCTAAGCGGCAGGCGATTCAAATGAGTTATCCAGAAGTTGACATGTTTTGGAACATGACCTTTAAACCAAACACCAGTTAGCCCAGCTCACCACATCAGGCCTAACTGAAGCCCAAGTGGCAAAGGTAGAGAAGGGTCTTCCATCTGCATTGCCGCATTTCCAATAGTAAAGATCTGCTCCCTTTGATCTATCCGGAACAGGCGTTGACAATAACAATAGACACATTTTTCAGAGAAGAGGGAATCATGTTCTAGGCTCTGGAGCTTTCCAAACGTTGTTGACACATGCATCGGACACCTTGCTCTCAGCAGGAATCTCCATAAGTCTCGGTCCCGAGAAACTAAGGATATCGATAAATGGTTCGCCACCAACCCAGCAGTCGTGCCAGAAAGAACAGGATAAACCATTCCCAACAGAGCCTCGTAAGAATTGTTTTGCTAATGGTAAGAGACGAAGCAATAATTTTCAAATCCATGAAGAGGAGGCCTTTTCCTCCAAGGACCAAAAACGAAATATTTTCAACTGTGGTCTAATTTCTATTTTTGAACATCTCTTTTAAACGAAAAACTTAACAATATTTATTTAAAAAATAATTTAGTTCATAAAATAGTTGATACTTACAGTTTCTAGATTAGGAAAACATTCCATGATTCGATGTAGATTTGAGAAATCTAAGCGAAAAATACCTATGCATTCAGACCAAAAAAAAAACAAAAAAGTTATGGATTGAAAAACTGAATTATAGACGTATGTTTAAGGTATGGTGATAAAGTTCTTTTTTGTTTTAGGCTTTTAGCTAATGTTATTGGGCGCGTAAATCCAACAACGATGGGCACGCCAAAGCTAAGGATAGCCACAGGCAGAGCCAGCTAAATGGTAGCTAGCATTGATTTGCCTATGACCCTTCTCTCTCAATGCCAAATGTCTTTAATCAACCGTGCTTTTTTAAATTTTATTTTTATTCGTATAGTTGACTTTTACGTTATTATCAGTTTTCTGTATGCCCTACAAACATGGGATAGATCCATCAAATCTCTTATGGTAAGGCCCTATCATTTGCTCAGTATTATGTGGCCATGTAATCTGATACAAAATAGCTTTAATGGATGAATTAAACGTCTGTTTATATGTTCTAATCGAACATTTTTTACTTTTTGTTATTTTCAGATAACACGTTTAGTTTTTTTTTTTTCATTGGTAGTTCTATTCATATAAATAATTTATCTTCAGAACTCTAATTTTACATGATTGTATCCTCCTTCTTTCTTATTCCTCCTCTCACGACCGAATTTACAAATATGGTTTTGTCATCCACAATTCCACATCGACCGAATGTACCAAATTCTTCTATCAAATAAAGATCACTATCTTCATTTTTCTCCTTCTTATCACCAAAAGGAGCTTTAATAAATTTATCAACTTTCTCCTGATTAGAGAACAATCTGATTTCTTTTCATTATCTGGTTTTGGTTAGTGGTGTTGTGCTAAAATCCTTATTGTTTCAAAATCTCATAAGAAAAACTATCACACATCCTATCGTGAATTCATCTATTATAGTTAGAAGTATGTAGGTGCTCTCTACACGAAATCTCTAGCCTGATTCATCGGATATATCAACATTGCTATCAAATCCAAATTATCAGGAACTCATTCGAGATTTCATTTCATAGATTTGATTAGAGAAATTTTTGGATATCTTCACGTTATCAAACATGTATTCATCTATGTTAAAAAATTTATCTCCTTAATCGTTGTATCAATTTAGCAGTGAGTTTGTATCAGATTCTTCAGATAAATGATAAATCACATTGGACTTTTTAATGAAATTTATGTGAAAAACAAAAATCTAGTTGTATACCTTATATAAGTAGGATTGTATCTATTTTACTCAGTGCAATAGTAAATGAATATATATAATGATAGAATGTTACTTGGATAAATATAACATCTAACATTAGTAAGACTATCTTTTTGTTTGCCAAACTTATGTAGACTATCAATTTGTGCAAAACAAAAATTAAATCCACTTTTGTTACTCTTACTGTTTCTTAATATAGGGCTTTTGAGTTAAAGCACAAAGATTATTCTTTTGAATAAATTTAGGGAGTATGTAATAAAAACTACGGTTTGAATATCATAACCGTTTTAATTATTCAAGAATTTGTTTACGATAAACATTGAATAAAAAAGCGTAATATAGAGCGACAGATGAGACTAATAATGACATGATTCATGAATGGCTGCTAGGTAGTGATTAAGTATGTTACATTTATTTTAATTCTTGGTTGGCGCAAACTCTATAATGATGCTTACATGAGTGTTTGGACAATAATAATAGCCTATCAATTTTCTATACTTTAATTCGATGCTAAAGTTTCTACGCCCAGCAGTAACAAATTGCCATGTGTCATTTATGATTGATAAATGTTTAATTTCACTGAAAGACAGAGATTTAGTTACTTTTTTAATACTCAAATACGTACTCCCTCCCTCTGTTCCACAATATTTGATGTTTTAGATTTTTTACACTTATTAAGAAACAATAAATACATCTTTTTACTAACTACTTTTTGTTTTTGTTTTAGTTATTTTACTATTTCCAATAAATGTATAAACATTATTCTCACTTCCTAATACTATTTCAAAAATTTGATATTTTTACAATCAATGTAAATTAAGTATTTTTTTAGTTTATAAATAAAATAGCATTAAATACTCCTAAAACATCATTTTTTCTGAAACAAGAATAAATCATAAAACATCATCTATTTAGGAACAGATGGATGGAGTATATTGTGAACCAATAATCAACGTGCTTCAATTTTCGTAGAATTGTAAACTAGACAACTAGTAATGGGCACATCACTAATCATGATTCCTTTTCCTTGGCTTATAATTTTACCCAAACAAACAGTTTTTATCCACAGACAATGTTTTTCTTACAGACAATATTTTTTATAACATTGAATTAATAAGGCGTATTATACTAATGCATTGAATTATAACAGAATTAGAAATAGACAAAAATTGGATAGAAGATTTATCAATTTGCCTTCTTGTTCACGCGGAATTATGAATTATGATTTTTTTTTGGGAGGGTATTTATTTCTTCGTCAACTTTTGACAGTCTCATTTTTTTGTTTGTGTGTGTGTGTGGGGGGTGAAATATAGTGACTTTTGGCCTTGTTTCTGGCTTCAGAGATTCCCTGATTTGAAATTTCTGCGCAATAAAAACCCTATCTACCAATCACAAACCCTAGATTTTGTCTATTTTCTTCCTCCCAATTCTTTCTTGATCTGTGTAGCCTTCGTTCGGATTCTCCATTTATTTGTTTGTTTGTTTTTTTCTTCATTTCATTGAAAGAAGGTGCAGATTTGATCCGATTCTGTTTGAGCTGAATTTTTGTAGATCAGATTCCGAATTAGAAACCCAGAATCGAATTGGGTTAACTTGAACAAAATTGTTCAGCAATCGTGGGTGTTGTTAAAGCTTAAAACTCTTGATCTGAAATTGAGTGAAACATCGAATTGAGTGCTTTTTTCCGGGAAATTTGATGGAGTGATTCAAGGGAGAGAGAAAAGGGAACGATGACTGGATTGGGCGTTCGATCCAGTAGCTATGGTTCCTTGGAGAAGACGGGACTCAACGGCGTCGTTTTGCCAATCCAGACGACTACGACGCGTACCAAACCATCTAAGATGCAGAAGGAGAGGGAAGGTATTGTACATTGGATCTGCAAATTCGCGGGTCGTAAGAAGGTGGGCATGTTGCTCCTCTTCCTAATCTCCGCCGTCGTCTTCGTTCGCGTCCTTTACGTCGGAAAAGGTAACAGTTTCTACTTAGATCGCTCTTTTCCGGCAATTTTTGTAGTCATGTTATGGTAATTTGAGGTTTTAGCTTGTGGATTTAGTTTCTTACTTGGAGTAGGTTTTGATTCGAAAGAGGAGTATGGTTTGTGTGCTTTGTACCAATGGGCTTTGTTTTGGCTTAGAAATGAGGAGCATTGTGACCAAATGTTGTGTAGAGTGGTGATCGTAATTGAGAAGTTTAAGAATCTACTTAGAGCTAGAACATAACTGGTGGGTTTTGATTAAAAACTATGCACAATCAATCAACTTGATATCATTATGAGCGTCCTTTTCATTTGTAATCAGGTGAAGATGGTCAGGAAGTTCAAGTTCCTCCGAGTCTTCATTTCAATGGTAGTTCAGTTGTAAATCATTCCAACATGTTACCAACAAATGAAGACCAAAACATCAATATTCGAAATATATCTTTTCTGGGAACAAATGTTTTAGTGTCCCCTACTCCTCCTATGCATTTTCTTGGGTATACGCTTCCTCAAGGACATCCCTGTAACAGTTTCACCTTACCTCCCCCACCAGCCGACAGAAAAAGAACAGGACCACGCCGTAAGACTTTAAAATCTTGATTTCTACATCTAGATTCTTTCTAAAAAAAAACTTTCTTTTGGTTTTTGCTTATCTGAGATCACTGCAAGATTGTTGTTGTGATGATGTTGAAAAGATCTAAGGTTTACTGTCGTAGAGAAGTTTTGTAAGAAGTGTTGTGGTTTGTTCTGCCTGGTTTTGATTTCAGCGTGCCCGGTATGTTACCTTCCAGTAGAAGAAGCAATTGCCTTGATGCCAAATGCCCCGTCATTTTCCCCTGTTCTTAAGAACTTAACGTATATATATGAAGAACCATTAAACAGAGAGACAGAGTTTGGAGGGTCAGATTTTGGTGGTTATCCTACTTTGAAACATAGGAATGATTCTTTTGACATTAAGGAAACAATGAGCGTACATTGTGGGTAAGTATCTTTGTAGCCTTGTTTATTCCCCTTTATTTTGTCTCATCTTTGTTCGTGTTTTTATGGATGATTTTTCAATTAGGTTTGTCAAAGGACCTCAACCTGGTCGAAATACAGGTTTTGACATTGATGAGGCTGACCTCCTTGAAATGAAGCAGTGTCGTGGAATTGTTGTTGCTTCAGCTGTATTTGGTAGTGCTTCGCGTGATACTTCTCTTATTTCTAATCAATCGCTCCAGTCGTGTTGCCGATTTTAGTTTGATTGTAATGAAGAATCTCTCTCTTTTCAGATGCTTTTGATGATGTAAAAGCCCCACAAAATATCAGTAAATATTCGGAGGAAACAGTTTGCTTCTACATGTTTGTTGATGAAGAAACTGAATCAATTTTGAAGAAAGAACGAGGCCTTGACGGCAACAAGAAAGTAGGGATTTGGAGAGTTGTTGTTGTTCATAATCTCCCTTATTCAGATGGAAGGCGCAATGGAAAGGTAAAAAAATACACCTCTCTTATCTTTTGAATAGGAAAGACATTATGCATTCAGTTACTCGAACCGAAAACATGAACACATGCTAGATATTTGTCCTTATTTTTACAATCTTGCTCCAAAAGTATTGTATCCACACTGCTGTAACAACATGCCTTTTTGCTTTAGACCAGGCTTGAAGTAGTTTACTACTAAAGGGAGAGCAACAATTTAGAAACCCAAGAAAATCAAAATTTTGAACAAAGTTTATCCCACTGCAAATGGCTGCTTACAAAATAGACAGAGTAAAGGGATGGATTATAAAGGCCACTTGTATGCTGATACCTCGTTCTCTTGTAGGTACCGAAGCTTCTTGTCCATAGGATGTTTCCGAATGCTCGCTATTCTTTATGGATTGACGGAAAACTTGAGCTTGTCGTCGATCCATATCAAATTCTTGAAAGGTAAGGCCTATCATAATTTATCTTATAAAATCAAACGGAGGATATCACTAGTGATATGTTTGATGAAGTCTTCCCAATATTCTATTGCAACCATTAATACTTGTGGTTGCCTATGCAGCTTCTTGAATTACCGAATAACAAACATTCCTTTAATCATATGTGAATTCTTATGGTAGCAATCTGTCACCTTTTTTTTCTTTTCAGATGAATTTACGTTAGCAGCTAGGTATTTGTGCTTAGCATTCCAGTAATGTTAGAAATATTGGATTGTTTCAAATAAGCTCACGGTTTGAGTTTAGAAGGCCTTAGCCTTGGTGATTCTGTTGTTGGGCTGCAGCAATCTGACTGACCTCACTATTGATCAGGTTCTTGTGGAGGAAAAATGCTACATTTGCGATCTCTATACATTACAGACGATTTGATGTCTTTGTGGAAGCCGAAGCAAATAAAGCTGCTGGTAAATATGATAATGCCTCTATCGACTTTCAAGTGGATTTCTACAAGAATGAAGGGTTAACCCCTTATTCTGTTGCAAAGCTCCCAATCCCAAGCGGTATGTCTCATTTGCTTACTTGTTTTTTAAGAATCCGCTTTCAGCATCAAAAGATTAATAGATACACAACTTTGTGGTCGGACCATGCAGACGTACCAGAGGGCTGTGTCATTCTAAGAGAACATGTTCCCATCAGCAACCTCTTCACTTGTCTTTGGTTCAACGAAGTTGACCGATTCACTTCTAGAGATCAAATCAGTTTCTCAACAGTAAGAGACAAGATTGCAGCAAAAACAAACTGGACAGTAAGCATGTTCCTTGACTGTGAAAGACGCAACTTTGTAGTTCAGGTGATTTCTTCTTTTCTTGCTGACTTAGCCCTAAAAAAATAGTCAAAGATCCTTACTTTATCATAACACTCTAATGCAGAGATATCATCGAGCAGAACAAGAGAGATTTGCAAGGCAACGACCTCCGGTGCCTAATTTTTCTCCTCCACCGCCTCCGCTGGTTTTAAACAGCAGCGATTTGCCTAGGAAAATGTCAAGCGGAAGAGCGGTGAGCACAACGCCGCCTAGAAGGCGTGGAAGAGACAGACGTGCAAGGGGTCACAGGAAAGCTAATTTGCCGGTACGATGACCAGATTCGGCTTAAGATTTGAAAGTAACAATGCAAGGCCCTTGCAAAGAGTTGGGTACTTCTTCATGGCTACTCTCATCACCAAACCCACACATTCAAATTTTACCACACAGTATGTTCTTTTTTTGTTTTTGTTTCTCTATTGATTCTAAGGATTCAAAATCAATTTTTTAATGTATATATATACACGGACATTTTGTACTTGGATAATAAATTATAGTTTCGAATTTTTGAAGAAAGTTAAAAAAATTCTGTCTTAAAGAGACCATCCGAGTTTGGTTTGAATGTTATCGAAATCTTTTGAGATACATCGGCTTGTCATCTGAAAAATATCCAAGTCTTTTTTTTTTGGGTCATAACATGTAAAAAGAATCCAGATTTAAATAAGATTAATCCTTGTCTGTATAGGAAATAATCCACATTGGATATATTTATACTTAATGGCTCTGTTCAATGTACACAAAACTAATAGGTCTGAAGAACTCATGATTTATCCAGAATATAAAAAGACAGATATAACTACGTTTGTAACTTTTTTAGATTTAAGTATTTAACTCAAGTAATGACGTCATCAACAAAACTTAGTCGTATTTGGGTTTCATTGACCACTAATACAGTAAAACCTTTATAAATTAATACTCGATAAATTAATAATCACTATAAATTAATAAATTTTGATGGTCCTAAGTCGGGCCAATGTAAAAATTCATCAAATTCGATAAAGTAATAAGATAATAATTTTTTTTGAAATCCTTATGTAAATATATAGTTTCAACAAAAACATAAATTAATAATTATATAAATTTATGTAAATATATGTAAATATAATATTTTAAAATAGGACTAATGTGTTTGTTTTTATTTAAAGTTGAAATCTTATTGGTTCACATCTCTCTAGTTATTATATCAGCAGCTCTTATTGCTGTTTTACTATATACATTCAAAATTTATGATGATTTTTTGATGTGATAATTAATTTTTTTTATCTGTAAATGTTTTTAAATGTATTGTAGTGTTATCTTCAATTTTAGCATCAATCAATAATATTGATACTAGCCATGATTTTTAATAAATTTTTAACTTGTAAACATATATATATTTACATAGACAATTCCATATGGTGTTAAAAACTATTTATTACGATAGTTTTGATTGTTAATCATAATTTATATTATGAGATTTCTTAAAATTTTAAAACATTATTCTAAAGAAATTTTTAGAAAATTATATGTGAAATGCAAATTTTATAGATAAATTAATATTACGATAAATTAATAAAATATTATGGTCTCAACATTATTAATTTATAGAGGTTTTACTGTAACTAGTATTTAGATTAATAAGTGACTGTCAATTGTTTGGAGGTTCTATGCAAATTTTAAATCAAACATATACTTATGTAGTTACGTTTGTAACTTTTTTTTTCTGCAAAATTTTGAACTTTCAACTTATATCTTCAAAATTTTCTTTATAAATATTAAGTTTTGAAATTTATGGTCATGTGCGTATACATCAATTTTGTTGAAGTTAATGTATGGTCTTCCTTTCTCTTTATCGGTATATCGTCTTTCTTTTTCTTTATAAAAAGAAAAATATATATGCATGGTCATGCATATCATATTATTATCATATGTCTACCACTATGTCAATTCAGTAAGGTTAATTGAATGTTTCTTCTTGGCCCATAACTATATGTTGTATCATTAAGAGACTCGGATGATTTTACTACGGGGCCATGATTTTAGGTTATATCATAAATAGAAACCAACTTGTTGGTACTCAATACTGACCTAGTGTTGTTTTCATTGATAAACTCTTTTTTTTTTTTACAAATAATATAATTCTATTTTGTTAGTTACATAGACATGCAATACATGAGACTGATCACATATAGAGTTAAAATCAGTAGCGTTATTTGTTTTCAGGTCCGGAAATCGTAGAAGTTTGAATTATTATTTTTTGAAGAACTAGAAGTTTGCATTATTCACAGCTCAATTTGGAGTCGAATAATATGATCTCAGTCACACTCATCATCGTTGATTCGTAAGTCACTTTTTATTTGGCTTATTATATGAAGCTATGAACTAACACCACCACCAGTTTTGACCTGGTCTTAAAGCTATACTGATATTCTTTGAAGATGGTAAAACGTTAGTGTTAAAAGAAAAAGAAAAAAGACATATAAAGTTTAATTTGGTCTCAACTACTTTCATTTCAGACGACCAACAATTTCTTACATCTAAAATTTGTGCGCCCTCTCATAAATAGTTAAATACTCTACTTAGTATAACTAACTTTCGTTTAATAACTTTATCCTATTTTAAAATTTGAATTGGAAAATGGTAAAAGAATATGGGAATAACCCCGAACAAATCATTTTGGTTTTGAAAAATATAGTGGAAAACCATCTTGGTTTAGAAAATCACAGAGGGGTTTCTCGTTTTTCCATTTCAATTCAATATATGTGTCACGCAAATAATATATATATTTTTGCATTTATTATTTTACTCAGTTTTCCTTTTATTTTTCTAGTCAATTGGCGAAAAATGAGTTTTTTGTCCGTCGATAAAACATGTGTAAACCAATTTGTGATAAAATTCAATAATACATTAATGTCGGATTGAGACGGAAGTCCAAATTAATCAAATCTTTCACTGCTGTCCAAACTTTTTGGACCACACAACAAAATCAACTAACTGCATCAATGTCGGATTAAGACAAATTGAGAGTGACTCATACATTTACGTTAGTGTATGTGGACTTTTATGCTATTATCTCATAGAAGGGAATATAGTCTTTCACAATAAAACAAAAAAAAAATGGTTTCATAAGGTTTGCTTCATACCAACTTGGTGTTAGGAACTAACATATAACATATTTAATCATAAACGTATTTAAAATGTTAAGAGAAAAACACATGTGATTGTTCAATCATGAACTATGAATTTATAATAGAATATAACTGCAAGTACTTGTTATTGATCGCTGGTTTTTTAGTGACGCAGTAAATCTTGGTAAATTTGGGTGTTTTGATATGATATTTTGAAAATCATACTTATGCATGTTCAAATGTTGGTGGTACTCCTTTAACTAAAAAAATTTTGGTGGTATTTGATCGAAACTTCCAAAATAATCAATAAGATATTAAATCATTTGAATTAAATTTTAATAGAGTTTTGTGAGTAAATTACTAAAATCAAAATCCAACGTATGAGACAAAAAATTTGGTTAGAATTCTACATCTTTCAGAATTTTTCAATCATTTTAAACCAGCTTCTACTCTTTAGCTGGTTGATCAAGTTTCTTAATTATATAAAGAAGACAAATGGATGCCAAAAATAATTTTCTAATCAAGTTTACTTTCTATCACAGTACGATCTCAGATAAGACTAAGCACTAGAACGACATATCTCTTTCATACCCATAACCATCTCTTCCAATTTCACACAATAACTTGTTTTTTTAAACAAAAAAGAAATGTTAACTAAACATTAGAGAAAATGTTTTCTATTTTATTTCTCTGTTTTGTCATACTTAGTGTGTGTATGTATAACAAGAATAACACGTCTCTTTCCATCATGATTGAAAATTATAATCTGAAATTCAGCGTTTTGAAGTCGCAAACGCACTGCTATGTGATGTCCCCAGATAACGTATCACACGGTTCAAAACCACAAACAGACAAAACACACAAAAGTAGATATAATGGCTCTTTGACCCTCTTGAGCTGATGAGAAAGAAAAAAAAAATCAACCATAAGGCCAAAACAGAGGAAAACAAAAACAGAACTCAACAAGAAGAAGAATAAAAAAATTTAAAAGATGAAGAATGGTCTGATAATCATAAACTGCATAATCCTCACTATAGGAACATGTGGAGGTCCATTGTTAACTCGTCTCTACTACAACAATGGAGGAAAAAGAATCTGGTTCATGAGCTCTCTATCAACCGCAGGTTGTCCAATCATCCTCATCCCTCTGTTTTTCTCCTTCCTCAGCCGCCACCGCAGCAACCGCAACCGCAACAACTCCGAAAACGCAGAGAAAACAAAGATTTTTCTCATGGAAACTCCTCTGTTCATCGCATCAATCGTCATAGGATTGCTCACAGGACTTGACAACTACTTATACGCATACGGTTTAGCTTATCTTCCAGTTTCAACTTCATCTCTCATAATCGGAACTCAGTTAGCTTTCAATGCACTCTTCGCTTTCTTCATGGTCAAGCAAAAGTTCACTCCTTTCTCTATAAACGCCGTCGTTTTATTGACGGTCGGCACCGGAATCTTGGCCTTGCACAGCGATGGAGACAAACCGGCTAAAGAGAGCCACAAGGAGTATGTGGTTGGGTTCTTAATGACTGTGATCGCAGCTGTTCTTTACGCTTTCATATTGCCGCTCGTTGAGCTTACTTACAAGAAAGCTCGACAAGAAATCACTTTCACACTTGTGCTCGAGATTCAGATGGTCATGTGCCTTGCTGCTACTTGTTTCTGCCTCGTTGGGATGCTCATCGATGGCGATTTCAAGGTACAAAACAAAATCAAGATTTAGTAAGTTCTTGATTTAGTAAGGATCTAAGATTCTTGAAATGTTTGTAGGTGATAGCAAGAGAAGCAAGAGAGTTCAAGATTGGAGGATCTGCGTTTTACTACACGTTGATTGTGATGACAGGGATAATATGGCAAGGATTCTTCTTAGGAGCAATAGGGATTGTGTTCTGTGCGTCGTCTCTAGCTTCTGGTGTTCTTATCAGTGTTCTTCTTCCGGTGACGGAGGTTTTAGCCGTCGTTTGCTTCCGGGAGAAGTTTCAGGCGGATAAAGGTGTCGCTCTCCTTCTCTCTCTGTGGGGATTCGTATCTTATTTCTACGGCGAGTTTAAATCCGGCAAGAAAGTTCTCGAGAAAGAGCAGCCGCCGGAGACAGAACTGCCTTCTCTTCCAGTTACTGATTCTGTTGTTTAGAAGGTCTTTTGCTTTTTTAAACCAAAGCATTACCGTTATATTTTTTGTTTCTTATTTCTGTTATGTATGATTGTATATTTGTTTTTGATTAGTGAATTTGTCATATAAAGAATTTCTAAATTCTTCTAAGTAATCACTATATATTCACATACCTGCAAGAACATCAAGAAGCTGAATAATTCTATCAACATGAATTTATATAATCTGGTTTACAGGGAAAATTATTAATAATCAGACGCAAAGTAACAGACGGCAGGGAAACCAAAACAAACTATCAGAGATGTAGTTCAAAAACCTCTTAATCTACTAATCAGTATCTATTATTTTCTCTTTTTCAATAAGTGTTTGGATTTTCTGATTGACATCCAATATTGTATTCATATTTGGTCAAGTAGTTGACTGACACCGATCCGTCCGATCCAATATTAATTTTTTTTTCTCTGAAACAAATCAATACGCAACGGCCAGCTTTCTCAAACTCTCACGCACTCGTTGTGTTTAAACTAGTTAAATGCATCCACATTTAAACTTTCCTTAATAACACACAAAAACAAAGTCAAAATAGAAATTAATATATATTGTTTTTGATCAAAAAGTTAACTATATTTAATCCGCAAGACATCATTTTGCTTTCAAAATATATCCGATACAAGTATAACTATGTTTCTCTTTATTAATCACGTTCGAGTTTTTGTTGTTTCTTGCGTTTCATACAGACAATTAACTCTATCAAAATAATAAAAACGAATTAACGTCAGAGAAAAGACTTTTCCATTTCAACTCTTTGTTTTGTCATACTTAATGTGTGTAGACCAAAACGTGTTAATATATTTTTTTGTTATCGATCAAGATGTGTTAACACGTCACGATAAAGATGATGTAGTGTTTTGAAGTCGCAAACGCGCCCCTAAGTAATAATGCTTCAATACCAGAAACAAACAAAGCACACAAAGCACAAAGACGCATAAAATGGTTCTCTGACCCTTTTGAGTTCGGAGGAGAAATCACCAAAAAGACCAAACCCGAGGACAATATTAGATAGAGGCAGACAATATTGGCTGTAGCGAAATGTGTATAAAATACCCATGTCAATGAACACGAAAAAAACAAGCCGTTACATTTACTTTCAAAAAAATAAAAAAGCAAGAAGATGAAGAACAGACTGCTAATCATAATCTATTAATCTGCATTATCCGCAATAAGAACACGTGGAGCCGTGGAGGCCCTTTGTTAACTTGTCTCTAAAAAAAACGTTTGTACCAAAAAAAAAACAATAAGTTTGATGTCAGATAAAAGGAAGGTCAACGAACCAATAAGATATCCCTTAACAAATCTTTAGATTGAAGTCAACAAAAAAATCTTCTAATTATGGAGAGAATGATGTCATCATTCCACTAAATTTAGAAAGAAAGAAATCCAATTTCAAATTACAAAATTAAAATAAAATCAGGATATGGTCTATGGGGATAGATATTATCCGGAATATAAATTTGTTATCTAAATATGCGGAGATAATACAGCAAAGTAAATGTTTTGCCATTGGAGGCTCTCGCTAGGTCAAAGAAAAAAAAAATTAAAGATCAAAAAGACAGAATCTACAGACAGAACCATCTTAGAGCAAGAGAGACAGTAAGTAGATACTGTTTTTCGATAACTAACCCTAAAGTTTCATTACCGACAGATATCGAGAAGCCTAGATACATTTCTTAGAAGAATCAACAAGACAAGAATGGGGAGGGCTATTGTGATCATAAACTGCATAGTTTTAGCCATAGGAAACTGTGGAGGTCCTCTGATCATGCGTCTCTACTTCAACAATGGTGGCAAAAGTATTTGGTTCTCTACTTTTCTTGAAACTGCAGGCTTTCCAATTATCTTCATTCCTCTGCTCTTCTCTTATCTTAAACGGCGCAGAAGCAACAATGGAAATGAGAACACAAGTCTCTTTCTCATAAAACCTCGTCTCCTTATCGCGGCTGTATTGATAGGAATTCTCTCAGGCTTTGATAACTACTTGTATGCATATGGCATAGCTTATCTCCCAGTTTCAACAGCTGCTCTTATCATTGCCTCACAATTAGCTTTCATAGCTATCTTCTCTTATTTCATGGTCAACCACAAGTTCACTCCATTTACCATCAATGCTGTTGTGTTGCTGACTGTTGGAGCTGCTGTCTTGGGAATGCATACCGAGACTGATAAGCCGGTTCACGAGACTCACAAGCAATACATCATCGGGTTCTTGGTGACCGTAGCAGCAGCTGTTATGTATGCTTTTGTCTTGCCATTAGTAGAACTTGCTTATCAGAAAGCTAAGCAACCCATGAGCTATAGTCTCGTGCTTGAGGTCCAGTTGATTTTGTGTTTCCTTGCTTCTTTAGTCAGCCTCATTGGTATGTCCATCGCTGGTGATTTCAAGGTTGGTCTCTCTAAGACTCTCTTTGAAGCTTAAACCTGCAAAAGAGTTTAAAATAGAGACATGTTTTTAACTCAGTCTTTTTCTTTTTAATTTGCAGGCCTTACCAATAGAAGCAAGAGAATTCAAGCTTGGAGAGGCAATGTTCTATGTGGTGGCTGTGGTTTCAGCCATAATTTGGCAAGGATTCTTCTTGGGAGCCATTGGATTGATCTTCTGCGCATCATCTCTCGTCTCGGGTATTATGATATCAGTCCTTTTGCCCATCACAGAGGTCTTAGCTGTTATTTTTACCATGAAAAGTTCCAAGCAGAGAAGGGTCTTTCTCTTGCTCTCTCCCTTTGGGGCTTTGTCTCTTATTTTTATGGTGAGATCAAAGCCAACAAGGAAAATAAGAGAATTCAGCAGGAGACAGAACTGATTTCTTTGCCCAGAACCATAAGCGAGTGTTAAAGATAAACGAAGCTTAGCAACTTTTTTCTTTTTATAGACATATCATAAAGTATTCTGTATCATTTCATCCCTTTTGTTAGAATAGAGGATGTTTATTGTTTAAAAACTTTGAACTATGCAAAAATACACAACTCGAAGAAGTTTTTTCCCTTTTTTCTAACCACATCAAATGAGTTTCAAAAGAGTTTGTGGTTGAATATGAAGCCAAATTATGACCCTTCAGTAATGCTGTTTGTTTTACCAGCTATATAGATGATGAAATTAGTCTTGTATTGTCTTCTGCTGAATGCTTTAAGCTTTCCATCTCTCGTGGAGGTGGATTCATCCCATTAACTTGCTCAACAATATCGCCAGCAGCACCATTATCGAGAAATCGCGTATGAACTGAGGACCCGTCCAGTTCCACCTGTAAGTTCAACCAGTAGAGAGCTTCTGGTAAAGCCTGTTTGGTTCATTTTCATGTTTCTTCATTACAATAAGGAAAACTCACCAGCGAGAGCAGATAACATTCAGTTGAATCACAATGTAAAGGAAAAATCTTGAGACAACCCCACCAAATCTTTTAGCTTTTTCTAACCGTATATCTTTACACTGCCTCCCCTAGAGATTCTACACTTTAATGCATCAAAAACACACAAAAACGGGTCTTTACCATTAGATGCATATGCTTCAAAGGAGAACCTATGTATCTTTCCGACTCTCATTTTTAAGATGCCTAGATAATCCACCAATGACATATAAGCATCACTAAATCTTCTAATGGTAATAAACTACACATTTCCTTAAGGTAAATATTGCCAGATATCCATTTGGGTCTACCATCAGATCTACCTACGTTATGCTTTTATCAATACATAGTAAAAAAATATATAACATATGTACCCACCAGCTTCCTTCCGCAGAACCACTCAATTCACTGTTGATTTCTTCTTTTGCAAACTCTTCCAGTATAGCACGCTGACGTTCGCTAAGTTCACTAGAGCTAGAGAATACAGGAAAATAAATTCACAGCATAAGAATATGCAAGAAATCAGAAAAAACAAAACAAACTCCCAGGGAAATTATTTTTAAAGGCCTCAACTATTAAGGCAACAATGTGTCTTGTCTGTTCTAGACAACAGCAGAAATTTTAGCATAGCATAATCTGTTTCTCCAAAAAATTTATCACTTCAACTCCAAGTAGAAGACATCTTACGTAGGAAAATTAACACGGAATCGCACATACTGATCTCCATGATCTACAAAAAATCCTGCTTTCGGTAGTCCTGCAGAAACTCGCATCTTAAAAACAGTACAAGCAAATGAAAAAGGAGATTAGGCATATAGGCTGATAGTTAGATGTACCTTTGCCTCTTAAAATACGAAGTTGGCCAGGCTGAACTCCCTTTGGTATCTGCAACAATTAAAACAAGTCACCTCTATTACCTCCAAAGGCTTGAGATCTAAGCCATCCTCTCAGTGACAGGATGAAGACCAACTTATACTCAGTTACAAAGGGTAAATGTCAAATTGTAGACATCAATATATACTATAGATCTCACTGGGAGACGAATCTTACTTCAAGCTCTGTCTTGCCTGATAATGTTGGCACCACAATTTTGCCTCCCAAAATTGCCTGTCAAATAATTTTTCACGACATGTCCAGTATGGCACAAGGGAGAAATAGTAGAGACAACGTGAAAACTAAGACATGAAAGGATGCATCATGTTGGACTTATATAGACAGTGTAACAAGCAATTTGAAATGAATACTGAAAAGAAAAAGCTGCAGCCGAGGTTCTGTGGTTGGGTGGCAAAATTACAGCAGTAGCATGCACTTGAGTTTATTGACTGGGTGCCATCAAACTGAGGTGGAACTGATATGCAATTTTATCTAGTTATCGGAAAAGCACGTCATATATATAATGATAAGGAAGCTACTAGCTTGTATTATAATACTTCTTACTGGTAAATGGAACAAAACTCATTAATTTTCAGCTATACTGCAGACAACTTTTATCTAGTAGCAGTCCACTAGAGGTTTATTTTTTTAAAGGACGCTGCCAAAATATGTTACTGCAGAGCTTTATCAGCTGGCAGTTAAGACTTTTGACCACATAGGGTCACTATGCGCGAAAAAAATAAGTTTAGAAGGTACTATTGTGTTAATAACCCAAGATTTAGGAAAGTGCTTACTTGTGTAAAGCTAATATTAGCATCCACATAAATATCTGACCCATCCCTAGAGAAAGTCGAGTCATTGGCAACCTGTGAGCAGAAGAAGATTAGATACTTGCCATCAACGGAAAATGCAGAATGCAGTAAGACCCCAAAATGAGCAAGAATGATGATAGAATTTAATACTATTTACAGATCTTACAAGACAGCATAAACAATCTATTCACTTTATGTAATAAGTCTTGATCATATAATGACAACCGAGACAACAAACACAATAGAGTAGCAATCACATGTAATTCTGTGAATATGGTGTAGATTATTTTTGGAATGAATACATTCGAAGTCAATATATGACTTCGACGCTTGCATCAACTGTCTTATCTCTTAGACTAAATTTATCATCATAAGTTGAGACTCATACGGTAGATCAACGTCAAGGATGGGTTTGACTCAAAACTTCTCTAAGCAAGTCTCAGGAAAAGTATAAAGATACAAATTTGAAGAAAAATACGGATGCTTTTAACAAACCTTAAATTTAATATACAAGTTCCCAGGTTGACTTGTTCTTGATCTTACATTACCAGCACCTCGGATTGGGACCGTTGCTTCAGACTCCACCCCTGCGGTCAAGTAAAGAGAAATAGGCAAATTAGAGTTTGACAGAATCATGTCATCAAGAATCAAATTCACTATCTGGTCCAGCAAACTCATGTAAGATGATACCCGAAAATCCCAGTTCTAAATTCTTGTTTCGGCTCTGCCGCAAATATTAAGTGCAGATAAAAGACAAATAACCAGGAAATGCACATAGCCAAGCAAAATCTTACAAAGAAGGGAAAGAATAGCCAGCTATAAAATAAGTGTGACCAATATTTAAATTGGGATAACATCTAAACCACTCAAACCCTCAGAGAAAGGACGTAACAGTGTGAATGAAATCTTGCCAATAAATTCATAGCAGAAGTGACATGTTTTAAAACCAAGATAGACAAAAGCATGAAGATTTCAGACCAACCCCCAGGGATCACAATTTCAACCGTCTTTGTGGCTTCCACAATACCGGATCCTCTACAAGACTTGCAGTACTCCTGAAAAGATAGACAATATAAATATGCTTGTAACCATGACTGCGAGATAACTATTGAAGCATCAAAAAAGAAAGCTCTTTTTCACAGACCTTAACAATGTGTCCCGTCCCATTGCACGTCTGGCATGCTGCTGTAAAAGGAGGAATAGTTACCTGTTAAAGAGACAGAAGGCCCAGTAGTGTAAATATAAATTGTATCATTTGTCAAACCTCCAAATAAAACAAAGAGTATAATCTCTAGTTGGCACTCACTCTTCCAACTCCCCTGCATGTTGGACAAGCTCTCCTGGCAGCATCAAGAGTGTGGCCAAGCCCATCTGTAAAATGATAAATGATGAGAGACTGGGAGCAATGGGTTTGCAACAATACTATTGTCAATTAAGTGAGTCATTCGTCTTCTTTTTTAGGCGGAATCAGCAGATTTTTAAAAGACTAGAAGCCGTAATTATTACAAGAAACCAGAAACAAGAGAGGCACAAAACGGTACATACATTCACATCAATTGATGACAGCCATTTTTCCAGAAGACTATTCTCCTTTAGGAATCTTTGTTTTACCATTTTGAACAAAAGCATAAATATAATGAATCATGAAAATATGACTCCTCATTCAAAGTGTCTACACTTCAAATTAATAAATACAAAATAGAATATATCTGAAAGTTCTAGGGCCACTCACCACAGGAATCACAAAAGACATATGCATCAAAATTCAAACGCTTTGTGCACCCTTTTGCAGCTTCGGAAAAAGAAAGCGACAGTTCCACCTATTCAAATTTTGAACAAACAAAACATGTATATTCACTGAAGAGCCCTCCAGAACAAGATATACATATGCCAACCAGCTTCCCATTGTATAAAATAAAGAGAAAATCAGAGAAACTGACCCGAATATCAGGTGAAATCTGATTAGTTTCGTCCTCAAATATCTAAATCAAGTGTACAAATGTTAGAGATTTGACTCCTCACATTATCAGATGAGGCAAATCGAAAACAAAATTGTGTACCTCAGAAAAAATCTTGTGGAACGAATCCGAGAAATTGGACTGGTAGGCGCGTCTGAACCTCTCTGCATCACCACCGTCATTATTTACATTATCTGAATTCCGATAGCGCAACTGTATTGTGTGATAATAGCAAGAAATCTATTTAGGGATCTAACCACCACATAAATAACAACAACAACACGAGCGTACCTGATCATATTCTGCCCTTCTTTCAGAATTACCAAGGGTCTGCAGTTTTTCAATCCAACACAAAAGTATATCAGACCATACATTGAAAATGTACAGAAGGTCGCACATGTGGGAGATTTAGCGGGAGAAAGAAAAAACATTACCTCATAGGCCTCTCTTATTTCCTGGAATTTCCTTTTTGCTGAAGGGTTATTTCTATTTGTATCAGGGTGGAACTTTTTTGCAAGCTGCGCAGTTGTACATTCAATCATAAATTTGAGCGGACAATTTACTACTAGTTGCTGAAAAAATGGAAGAACCATAGGCCAAAAAGCTCACTTCATGAAACGACTTTTTAATCTCCTCACGGGTGGCTTTTGGAGAAACACCAAGAACATCATAGTAATTACGAGCACTGGAGAATGATACTCCTGAGAACCATTTTTTGAAACCAAAAGCTTTCCAATGAATAAAATGGTAAAAGAAACACATTGTCTCCATCAAGAAAAAAGCGAAAGGCGAAAAAAACACAAAACCTGTAGCGTGAATATAACGCTCAAACAACGACTTCTGAGACCCTGCAAAGTGTCAAGAAGACTTGCAAGTAATGTACGCGTATTTTCCTATAGATAACACACAAATATCAATTCGGAAAAAATCCCTTTAATGTTAGCTACCTAACTATATCCCTCAACACTTGAGAAAGGACATAACTCTCCAGAATACACTTCGAATCTGCTAAATCAATTACCGTAAATGGTGAACAATACTTTAATTCCCCCATCCTGATAAACCCCAAACCCCCATTTCAGCTATACTTATCACTACAATGGAATTTTACAGATAAGGCCATAACCTCGAACAGCATATGTAGGCATGAATCATGATCTCCGACGAAAACAACAACCCTCGATTATTATTATAAAACCATTACCTGATCGCAATCCTAACGCGGAATCAAATGATCTTCGTGCCTGTAAATGTCGCAGAACCTAGGAAGAAAAAGATGAGCATAAATTTACAGAATCGATACGGAAAAGCGAGGTGGAGAGACTAGAGAGTAATGAAGGAAGCAAACAAACCCAGTTAAATCTTGGCATGATTCAGAGCAGAGATGGAGAGGTTTTTTGATTTTTAAGAGTTAAACCCTACGCATATGCCGGAGACACAAAGAGACGTTCGCCTAATCGTTGAATTTTTTTTTTTTGCCAGTTCGTGTAAAGTCTCTGACTCACTCAGAGACTTAAATGTTTTTATTTGTTACATACGCACACGTTATACAAAAGTCGTATCCATCGCCTAATAAACTATTTAAACCGCAAATGTTCGTATACATTGGTATTATTATGACATTAAAAGAAAAAGCTATAATGAAATTATAGTTAGAAATTGTTCCTGTTGGTTTGTAAACTCTTCTTCTTCCCTCCTTGAATATTCATTTTTGTGAAATGATTAAGAGAAAAATGGAGGAGCTGACAACAAAATGAAGGTAAAATGCTCTGCCAATTTTGTGGCGGTACGTGTAGCATAAGTTTAGATACAGAGTAGGCAATATGTATTCTATTCTATCATATGTATCTTCATATATAAATATTATTACAGAATTTGTTTATCTTCCATTGTCGCGTTTAAGACGATCATATATATGCTAGTTTACTGGAATATTATAGTTCCGATGTAATTGATCAGTTTAGCTCAAATGGACACATTCTACATGAATACACCAAATCCAAGGGAATGATCAAATGAAGATCATGAGAAAGACAAGATCGAGATGACAAGTCAAGTAAAAGAACTTAAGAGAATCATATAATTCAATAAAATTAACTGTCATTAATTAGTAGGAGAAAAACCAAAAAAAAAACTTTGAAACATTGAACTACGACAAAGACATGAGACTCTCAAAGTGATTTGGGGAAACACTCGTGATGAACGAATAGTTGTTAGAAAGCCCGTAACGGTGTCTAAACTCCTCACCGACAATTCTTTCAAACAAGGCTTCTCTGCTGCTGTTCTTCCTCGGATCGAAATATAGAATGTAAAACGATTTAAACACACTATATGGTGCAAAAATGAGCTCACCAGCATCACTAATACCCTGGAAACGCATACGAGTCCTCCATACACTGTTACAAGGTACATTAAAAAAGCTTTTTTTGCGTCCAATCGTCTCCATTTGCATCTTTCAAAATATATATATGAATATAACCAAAAGCATTATAATTTCTATATCTAACTAAGGCTAGCCTTCCCTCATAAGACGACATCGTATTAGGTGCCAAACGAGGATAAGTCTCGGGAAACTTTATCGGTTTGAAAAACTTTTCAGATTTGACATCGAAGCTCATTATTATAGGATGATCGTTGACACCAATAGCACGAGCTTTATAATACAGAATACCATTGAAGCATTGTCCATGGTCTCCACTAAGGGGGCAATGCCTAGGGACACCTTTGGATATTATTCTCCAAGATTGATATTGAGCTCCCAATGTAAGAACACGAGGCTGTTGGGAATCTTTATGCGATACGCATAGTACTTTGTGTTTACCCTCCAATGGATCGAACCCTAAATAAGATATCCAGTTATCATCATGACTATGTGTGGGATGTGGTAAGGTCGAAAACCGTCTCAAGCTTGGGTTCCAAATCTTGTATATATCCTTGTAATAAGAACAAGCCCTGGACGCTCTCGGCTCGCGTATCAAGATAAGGGCTACAATATGTAGGTTTTGACGTTATTTGGTAACTGTAGACTTGAGGATATGACCCGTCCGGATTCTGTTGATATTGTGACCAGAAGACTCGGTGGCCGTGAAGAGGAGCGTGACGCAAAAGAGCTGACAAAACTCGGAAGTGTGGTGAAAGAAGACCAGAGCTTGGACACACACTGAGATCTCAAGATCGATTTCGCAGGAAGTCTTGAGAGTATCTCCAAGGTTAGATCAAGAGGAATATGGTCGGGTTGACATCTAGCATCATCATCATCATCATGTCTTGCTCTCTTGATCTTTCCTGTCTTCTCTTTCTGATCCATAGACGATTGATTGCTCAAGAATCCTATATGTTAGTAAAAAGTAACCCTAGCTAATTCCTTCTTTCGTTAATATTCCCCTTTATATTTTTGACCTAAAAACGAAAATATATATCCAATGACTAGAAAAATGTATCACCATATATATGATTAGATTATATAATTGAATACTCAGATAAAGAATAGAAGCACTTCTTTTATTAATCTTTAAGAAACTCATTCATAAGAAACTCATTCAGAACCTAAAACTCTTCTTAATCTCTTTCAACTCCTAAGGTCTACCACAATTTTGGCAACTCTTATATAGAGAGTAGATTCCATAAATCCTAATTCTATTAGAAATACAACTTTTCCTTTTTTCTTAGATAACTGCTAAACTTATTAGATAACTCCTAAATCTTTGTATTCCTAATCTTTTTAGGAAACTTACTGCTCAAACTTTCTTCATCTTCAAGCTTACTTCAACATAGATTTCATGTAATCTTGCTTTAATGGGATACCCTAAAAATATCTTTAATAATTAGTTTATACATAGAACTTTCGACAAAAATATGTTATAACTTGTAAGTATGTTTTGTGGAAATGTAAAAATTATGTTATTCTGTACTAATATACTAGAAATTAACCCCTACAAATGTGCAAGGTAATTTTTTAAAATTATCTTTAAATTTAATTTTAATTTTTTTTTGTAAATTCATATCTTTGCTTCTCTTTAATTGATGAGTCATGCTTTTGAAAATTTGTTATTGTATTTTATGCAATCTTTTTATTATGTCTCACTAAAATATGTATATATTTTTTGTGCAATATTTTTTTTTAACAAGGTATGGATATTTTTATTCTTATATTAATATATTATATAAAATTTATTAAGTTAATGATCCGTCGTGGTTAACTGGCTCGATCCTGATTGATCCAATAATCCGGTGACCTGGAAGGTATTCCGGTTTGTTTTGGGTTTAAAAAAATTAATGTGTTACATAACACACACGTTATACAAAAAGTCGTATACTGTATATCGCCTAATAAACTCTTCAAACCGCAAATGTTCGCTTTTTGTAATGATACAAAATTTAGAAATCGTTCCTTTTGGTTTGTAAACTCTTATTCTTCCCTTCTTGATTTTTCCATTTTGTTAAATGAGACAACAAAATGAAGGTAAAATGCTCTGCCAATTTTGTGGCGGTACGTGTAGCATAAGTTTGGATACAGGGTAGGCAATATGTATTCTGTCATATGTATCTTCATATATAAACATTAGTAGAGAATTTGTTTATCTTCCCTTGTCGCGTTTACGACGATCATATATATGCTAGTTTACTGGAGTATTATAGTCTGATGTAATTGATCAGTTTAGCTCAAATTAATGGGCACATTGTACATGAATACACCAAATCCAAGGGAATGATCAGATAAAGAACATGAGAAAGACAATATAGAGATGACAAGACAAGTAAAAAAAACTTAAGAGAATCATATAATTCAATAAAATGAACTGTCATTAATTAGTAGGAGAAAAACAAAAAAGAAAAGAAGAAAACTTAAGAGCATCGAGCTACGACAAAGACACGAGACTCTCAATGTGATTTGGGGAAACACTCGTGACGAACAAACAGTCCTTAGAAAGCCTGTGACGGTGTCTAAACTCCTTACCCACAACTCTGCTAAACAAGGCTTCTCTGCTACTGTTTTTCCTCGGATCGAAATATAGAATGTAAAACGATTCAAACACACAATACGATGCAAAAACGAGCTCACCAGCATCAGTAATACCCTGGAAACGTATATGAGTCGTCCATACACTGTACAAGGTACATGAAGAAAGCGTCTATGCGTCCATTCGTCTCCATTTGCATCTTCCAAAACATATAGATGAATATCACCAAAGGGATTATCCATATGATCAACAAAGGCTAGCTTTCCCTCGTAAGACGACATCGTATAAGGTGTGAGAAGAACACGAGTCTCGGGATACTTTATCGGTTTGAAAAACTTTTCAGATTTGACATCGAAGCTCATTATTATAGGATGATCGTTGACACCAATAGCACGAGCTTTATAATACAGAATACCATTGAAGCATTGTCCATGGTCTCCACTAAGGGGGCAATGCCTAGGGACACCTTTGGATATTATTCTCCAAGATTGATATTGAGCTCCCAATGTAAGAACACGAGGCTGTTGGGAATCTTTATGCGATACGCATAGTACTTTGTGTTTACCCTCCAATGGATCGAACCCTAAATAAGACATCCAGTTATCATGACTCGGGATGTTTGGTGTGGGATGTGGTAAGGTCCAAAGCCGTCTCAAGCTTGGGTTCCAAATCTTGAATCCTTGTAATAAGAACAAGCCCTGGACGCTCTCACCTCGCGTTTCATGATAAGGGCTACAATATCTAGGTTTTGATGACGTTATTTGATAGTGATAACTGTAGACTTGAGGATAAGACCCATCAGGATTCTGGTGTTGTGGAAACGAGAAAACGAAATCCTTTGATTCTGCAGTTGATAATGTGACCAGAAGTCTCGGTGGCTGTGAAGAGGAGCGAGACGCGAAAGAGCTGATAAAAGTCGGAAGTTTGGTGAAAGAAGACCAGAGCTTGGACACACACCGAGATCTCAAGATCGATTTCGCAGGAAGTCTTGAGAGTATTTCCAAGGTTAGATCAAGAGGAATATGGTCGGTTTGAGATCTATCATCATCATCATCATCATCATCATCATCATCATCATCATCATCATCATCATCATCATCATGTGTTGCCCTCTGGATCTTCTTTTTCTGATCTTCTTCATCAATGGCCGATTGATTGCTCAGCCCTAGCTAATTCCTTCTTCCCTTAGATTACCCTTTATATATTTGAACTAAACGAAAATATATATCCAAAACTAGAAAAATATAACACGATATATATGATTAGATTTCATGCAATCTTGTTTAAATGGATAACGCTAAAATATGTATAACTTGTAAGTATATATGTTTTGTCGAAATGTAATAATTCTGTAATTCCGTACTAATATATGCATCTAAAAAACCCTTTACGAAGAGGATTTGATTATTATAGGTTTTTTGAGAATTTCTAATTAACGTTTAAGTTAGTTAAACAAAAAATATGGAACTGACAAGCCGAAAAAAATAATAATAAGAAACTAGGTGATTAAATATTAATCATTATTTTTTATTCATAATTATTGATTTTATAATTAATTTTAATAGTATTTTTATATGAATAAAATTGCACATTAAATATAATAAGTTAAGATTAATACGTTCTACCTAACCGATCCAGTATCAAACTAAGAAATGTTATTGATAGTAAGATTTATAAAGATTTTGGTTGATTTTAAAAGTCATGAAATTTGTCAAATATTCAAAAGTTTTGTTGGATTTGTAAAACTTGCAAAGAATTTTGTGGATTTTATAATAGATTTGATATGATAGATTTTGAAAATTTAAGGGATATAGGTAGTATTTTGAAAATTATGATTTATGAGTTAATATAGATTAATATAAGAGAGAGAATATTTTTACAAATTAAAACACAATATCATAATCATAAATATAAAAGCAAATCTATGTTTTTAGAATTATTATTTCATAACCACGATCATTTTTGGATTAACCGAGTTAGAAATATGTTTTTATAATAACGGTCATTTTTTTATTAATAGAATTAACAGTATGACCGAATTAGAAATATGTTTTTATAATAACTTATCTAAATGAAAAAATCTTTATCATTTATTAAAAAACTATATTCTATAAAATATAAATTGCATTATAAATTTAAAATAGATATATTAATTTTAATTACTTTAAAGTCCCTTAAATATAGGTTAGATTTAATTTAACATTTAACATTTAAATAATATTTTTAGAATAACACATATGATTAACAAATATCTTTTTATATTTTTTAATCATATTCAATAAGATTAAATTTCACATATTAAAAAGTGATAAATATTAATATTATATGGTAGTTTGATGGGGTGGTTTAATTTTTTTTTTAATTATAATCTTATGTGAATTAGGTTATCAAAACATGCAATATATTAAAAAAATATATATATTTCAAAATCAGTAAATATTTATATTATATGGTATTATGAACAGGTGGGTTAGAATTATTATTTCATAACCATAATTATTTTTGGATTAATAGAATGACCGAGTTAGAAATATGTTTTTATAATAACAATTATTTTTTTATTAATAAAATTAACAGTATGACCGAGTTAGAAATATGTTTTTATAATAACTTATCTAAACAAAAAAAATCTTTCTCATTTATTTAAAAATATAAATTATATTATAAATTTAAATTTATAAAAAGATTTCGTGCGGATGCACGGGGTAAAATCTAGTATAATTTTTATATGTTATGTGTGTTACTATGTTATTATAAATTTAGAATTTTTATCCTAAAAAAACAATCTTAGAAATCAATTTAAAATGCAAAATCATAAAAAATTGAGCATTATATAAAAATAAAATAAATATCAATCAATATCAATTAATTAATGAAAAAACTGATAATTTTCTTTGAGTGGTTTAAAACTTGATGTTAAAATTTATTTTTTTTTTAAAAAATTGTAACTTTAAATTATAAAAAGTGACACATGTCATCTCTATATCAATTAAAAATGATGATGTGTCACTCATAGAGAGAGTTAGTTCTCTTTTATATATAAGATATCTGGTTTATTTTTTTGTAATAGATATAATAATAATTTATTTTATAAATTTTTAATAAATAATATAACCGGAAATTTGTAATAAATTTAATTTTCGGATTAATATAGATAATATAATCTATTTTTAAAGAAATAAAGAAATTTATATTTAAATGATTCTTTATAATTTAAATCATAAATCATGATTTTTAAAATACTAACTATATCTGTTGGATTCTCAAAATCTGCCATATCAAATATATTATTAAATCTACAAATTTTTTTGCAAGTTTTAAAAATCTAACAAAATTTTTAAAAATTTGACAAATTTCATGATTTTTAGAATCAACCAAAATCTTTATAAATCTAATTCTCAATACCCCTGAAAAGATTTCACAACTAATAATTCTCACAATTTTATCCATGTGATTAGTCATTTTCTCAACTAACAAATATGAAACAAAGTAAATGAAACTTACTGGCGGATTAATTTGGTCAGCAATTTTTAACCATCACTAACAAACATTAAAATATATCGAAATCATCTTACTTTGAACTCTGAAAAGCTTATTGCTAGCATTAGGTTTTTAAGATTTTATTTTATTTTAAAATTTTAAAAGTCAAAAATTTACCAATAATATTTTTTTTCTCTACAGCCTTAACTGTTTATTTTTTTTTAATTCTCTAACTTTAATTATTTTAAAAACTAAGTTTGTGAAACTTTTAATTTTCTAAAATCAAAGTTTTTATTTTTAAAGCAAAAGTTTTTACATTTTATTTTTTAAGCAAAAGGCAAAACTAAAAGTTTATATCAAGCAATCCCATATTTTTTAAAAAATAAATATATATTTTTTGTTGACCGCACGACGATTATGCCACCGGAACATTTCCCAGACATTTTATAATCCATTTACTAAAGAAAAAAAAAAAACTGAAGTGTCATATATATTGAAAGAAGAATCGCGAAGAAAATCGTGAATCGAAATCAAATCATGAGTGGGCAAGAGAATCACGATGGCCGGATCTCTACTCCCGCCGCGTCGGAGCCCAAAGCTCCTCACTCATCTGAGTACGCTCCTTACCCTAAGCTCGATCCTAACGATGTCACTCCTCCTCCGCCTGCTCCCATCTCCGGCGATGCCGCCACCACCATGCCGCCGGAGTTCAATCCTTATGTTTCTCCTTCCCCTGCACCTAAGAGTGAGTTATATCATTACTACTCTCTATCCGATTTCGCATCCTATCAAATTCTGGCGTTTGATCGATCGATTGATCTTGGTTTGTGGCAGATACGATGGACTCGGTGAAGGATACGCTTGGGAAATGGGGGAAGATGGCGGCGGATGCCACCAAGAAGGCGGAGGATCTCGCCGGAAACGTTTGGCAGCACTGTATGCTCCCTTTCTTCCTTCTTCGATCAGATGAACTGCGAATTAAGTATAAATCTGAGAAAGATGGATAGTCTTGACTATGTCCTCTGGTTAAGTTAGGGTTCATCAATAATTGTGCCAACAATTGTGCTCATCCTTTCGAGTTCTTACCCAAAAACACACAGGAAATGATGAAATTGAGATTATTTATCTGTGTCTGGTGTATTGCGTCTGACTCTTGAATCAAAGATTATTTTGTGATCAGTAATATATGCTACATATACATATTCGTTTGATACATCTTCCCCACTTTTTCTCAGTGAAAACAGGCCCAAGTGTAGCCGATGCTGCTGTTTCTCGAATCGCTCAGGGGACAAAAATACTTGCAGAAGGTGGATATGAAAAGGTGTTCAAGCAAACTTTTGATTGCCTTCCTGATGAGCAACTTCGCAAGACCTTTGCTTGCTACTTGTCTACATCTGCTGGTCCTGTGATGGGAGTTATGTACCTTTCGACACACAAGCTTGCATTCTGCAGTGACAAACCTCTCTCCTACAAAGAAGGTGACCAGACCCAGTGGAGCTATTACAAGGTAATCTGCCTGTCCTATTGTTCCTTTTTTTTTCCTTTGTTACTCTTTGTTTTGATATCTGTTTACATTTATGAAAACAGCTTGAGAACAAAGATTCGAAAACCGTAATCATTTGTTGATCATATGTTTAAGGGTTTAGTGACTCTAGTCAGTTTCTTGCCATTTCTAATCATCGACATGTAAAAATAGTGTTTGTAGGCTTATACTAAATGGAAACGACATGTCCTTCTAAAGCTATTGTTAGGTATCCACGGAGTTGCATGCCCTTGTTTGCCTGAGTAAACGATTAAGACATTGTTGTATTCCCAAGAGAGCAAGCTAAATCTCATAGCAGTTCTGATCAAACTAGAGGAGCCATCGAGTAGTTGTTGGTTTGAGAGTTTAGACTGGTTCAGTTGTAATGTTTTACTAGGATTGCTAAACATTAAACATGAGCTGAAAACCAATCAACCAAACCACAAAACTTCTAGCAGAATGATCCCTGCAAAACATATTTTGAGATTTGCATGGTTCCTTCAGAACCTTTCTTTGTAGAGCTTGAGAGTGATGATTTTGATCTGATGATGTCATATGAACAGGTGGTACTTCCGGTGAACCAGCTAAAGGCAGTGAACCCATCAACAAACAGAGTGAACACATCTGAGAAATACATACAAGTGATTTCCGTAGACAACCACGAGTTCTGGTTTATGGGGTTTGTGACTTATGAAACCGCTGTGAAGAGCCTTCAAGAAGCTGTGCAGTCACATGGTCTATGAGGGTCCACTGGTAAATACAGATCTTTTAGTGGTATTGTGCATTTTAATATGGAACAGTGTGTTTTAGTCGTTGATACCGTTTCAGTTCGTTTTGTAGATTTTGCCTCCTTGGCATTTGATCATATACATTACTGTTGTTCATTTGCTTCTGTATGATTGAATTCTTATTTGTTTACAAATAATAACATTGAATCTTCTCTTGTTCCGATCAGATCTAGAGATTTTTTTTTTCCATTATTATCCTTGATGGTTCTTGATATTAGGCAATGAACAAGAACAAAAGAAAAAACCTCACTGACGTATTTGTCAATGGCATCTGCAAATGATGCAAGATAGCTCAAACTTAAACTGGACATTCTCTGAAATTTCTTCAACTAAAGGATACAAGTAACAGGAAGCTTCCAAATGTTACATCCTCAGGTTCTAAGTTAGGAATACAAAGGCATCAAATTTTAAATCTTTCCTAATACAAATTCAGATTCTTGAGATTCTGGAAGACCGGTTTTCCTTGCCTTGTATTGTAATATGGATCCTTTTTGTAAAATAATAAAATATGGGGTAAAATGTATGAAGCAGTTAAAAGAACGAGAACTTTTGTGTCATTTATCAATAATTTCCATACACGAGTATAGGGCTTTTATAAAAGCCGCCGCTTCGAGAGCAGAGCATCAACTCAACTATCAATTGCGTTTTTTCTCTGAAAAATTAGGGTTCTTCACTTTCATTTGCGATTCTTGTTTTCAATTTGTTTTTGTTATCAGGTCTTAAGTTCCCGATGATCGAATAACCTTTATATAAAGTTTCAGCCTTGTCTGAATATATCAATGTCGAAGAAAAATCAAATTTTCTGAGGGAACTAACTTCGCGTCTATTTTTCTTAAATTGTTTGAGATTTTAGTTACGTAAGTTGTTTGTATTCATAGGGTACCCAATGATGATTCGAGAAAATCTCTATATCAAGTTTCAGCCTTGTCTGAGATAATCAATGTTGATAAGTTCTTCGATTCTGATGGGAACCTCATTTTTTATTCATCTTCTTTCATCTCAATGTTGATTTATGATTTATGTCGTTTAAACAGTAAAGCTGGGCTCAAAGTTTCGTAATGATTTTTTCAGATTATGTGCAAGTGTGCTATGTGTGATGAATGAATCCAGACAGTTCATGGCTATAGAAAAGTTTACAACAACATAAACATATTCTGGGGGATATAATTGTAATAATAAGATAGATCAAGAGAATGTAAGAAAATACATACTGTAGGGGACATATTTGTATTTCCAACTTTTGTTACATCAAATAGAATTGGTGTGGTGACATCTACATAATCACAGCAAGCGTTTAAATTGTGTTTGATACTTTGTTTTACAAATCTTTAAAGCATTAAAGCAATTCAGACAAACATGTATGTTATGGGCCCTCTAAATCCAACATAAACGTTGATTATTCCATTTGTAACACCGTTTGGATCATTTCGAAATATTATTATTGGGAAAAGGACATTATTTCTCTAACTTGTCAAGCAAAACAATGGATGGATATTTATAAAGTGAAATGTGGATTAGCTATAGCTTTTTATCTGCACGTCATTTTCCAGCCTTAAGATTAGCCAAGTTACACAAACATCACTTGAACTGTTTCTTGAAATTGTGGGTGAATCAACTAAAGAGTTTCGTTTAAAACTTTCATCGTAAAGATCCCAAGTTCAGTGTATTGAGAATTATAATGAAACGGGTCGTCTCACGTCTGGTATGAGATTTGGACTATAGTGACATTGAGTACATGGAAACATATCTAAATGGTGGGGGTTGTGCAATCGTTTTAAAGGTTGTTTACTTGCATTAGTTGTATGCAATATTTCTAAATGATATTAACTTTCTAAGCCTCATTTTTAAGAAGAGACCAGCTTTAGAAGTTAGTATTTGAACTTACTCAAAGCCATAGCTCCTTGTCGTCTTATTCTTTTGCTCACCAGCAAACTACGTAGTCGTTTGAATTTATTATAAAAGTTGTTAGCTTGAAAACTATGACCCATGCCTTACCAAATTTTAAGATTTAGCATTTGGACTGTTCTTGCGTTATTTGAACATAGTCAGTCTTGCAGTGTCTAGATCATTTGGTGGGTTATCCGATCTCCGTCTAAATATTTTGGTGTGAAGTGTTTTATCTGAATGATCTAAAATACAAGATTTGAAATACCATTGTCATAAATGTCATCGAACGCATTACCCACTACATATATCATGTCCTCTCTAAATAGTAAATACTCAAATTTCCACATATTTGATGGCCAGTTCCAAATATTTGATCCTTCTGTCGATAAAATAAGATAAGATAACATGTTTTTGTTAATTCAACATGAGTTTAAGTTTACCAAAAAAAAAACATATGAGTTTAAGAGTTAGTACTGAATTTTCCGAACACGTTGTTTATATTCAAGATAGCTTATTAAGAGTTAAAATTTTGACTTGATGGATGTTCTAGTGAGCAATCAATTAGTAGTGTCTTTTTTTTTCATGTAAGTATGTAACGTTAATCCTTTATATATGTTTTGTAGAAGTTTGTTAAACTTGGATCAAATACTGTGTCCATAACACTGGATCACAAACACTAACTGTAAACTAGAGCTTTAAGTATTACTCAACTTTTACACTCAACACAATACCTCTAGAACAAGAACAAAAAGAATGTAACCTGAAACGAAAACTTAATAATGTCAAGTTTAACATATTTTTGTGGGATCACAATTTTCATCGGTTATAAGCAATCATCAATTCATCAATGGATATATAATTTTATCCGTGGAAGATGCATATCAGCATATGCTATATAAATTTGCTACTGACAAATTCAAGTTCTGTAAAAACTGATCTTTTATTTTTACATTTGATTAACGGTAATCAAATTCTACAAAACGTATATATCACTACTATTGCTACCTACAAAAGTTTATCATAAAAAGGTAAACCGAGGAAAGCATGCAAAACAAAACAAAACGAAAAAAGAGGGAGAAAAGGAAAAGAAAGGAAGGCGGGAGCGGCAATTCAAAACTAAATAAAGGAAGCAAGAAGCGAGTCAAAGTAAGGCAACACATAATTACGTACACTAATTGATGGGTCAAAGTTAGACCCAAATGAGAGGTGGCTACTTCTCTTACGAATTGCAGCAACTTAGACGAAACGCTTTTTAGCCTTTAGGATTTTAGGAAGCTGATGAAACTTAATTTACTCATTTGCCTCTTTCGTTGCTACTAGATTGATACTAGTTAGTCAATATGCATCTTATAGTTTTACAAAAGATACATGATACATCTCCCACACATAGCACCATCATTGAATTTTTCATATCAATAGTATCTCAAAGATTAGTTGAACAACCAAAAGTAAGAATTAATGTCTCATAATCCCTCGATGAACTAAGTAGGGATATTAGGTCGAGGACCGGTTAAATACAAGAAAAGAAGCTATATGATGGTATTATAGAGTTTCCAAAATGTGTGGCTGTTAAATGCTTAATCAGTCATAACCTAATGTCACAATCCACTAAAGTTGAAGTACCTTAAAACCAAAATTGAAATGTCTAAAAAGAACACTCAATACTTGCTTTTTCCACCGGTCTAAGTCTCCTTTCTCTCTTAATTCTTATTATATACTTGTATAGTTGTATTGAATCATAGAGTTTAACATAACGCCGTCACGCACATTTAACATAGTCATCTTCATAATCATTAAACTAATCGCTTATTAATCACACTTAACACTACAACTTGGACCAAACCTAAGACATCTATATTTAACTAATTAAACTGGGTGTGTGATAAGTGATAGCATAGAGGGGAAACATATTGGTTTATAATTAAAAACATTTCAATATATCAGGCACATGTCCAATAATTTAACATACAGTATTTGTATATATTACCTCTTATTAATCTCGTTAAAAGATTTTTGAAATAAGGAAAGTTTAGTAAGCGTTCAAAGTAAAACGAAATTAGCGTATAAATTTTTCAAAAACGTTAAAGTGAAAAATGTAATAATAAACGAAAAGTTGAAAAAGAAAATATAAGAGGAAATCCGAAACTTTACTAAAAAAAAAAGTATTCGACAAAAAAAAGCGAATAAGAACAAAAATTAGATTTACAAAAAAGAAAACATTTACCAAATAAGATGAAAACAGAACCTATATAACGATTGAATATGAAAAAAAAAGGGAAAAGAAAATTTACATCCTTTTTTGTATGTAAGATAATCTTTGTATATTTAAGTCCCTAATGTAATAGTGTATATATATACAAAGCAAAACTTCGTCTCATTTGTTCACACTGAAACCACAAAACTCTCTCTCTCTCTTCCCTCTTCGCATCATTTTCTTCATGACCTTCTTCTTTTTGTAACAGAGAAGAGCAAGAATTTATTAAATGGGCCATGATAACATCACGAAGCTCGCGAGTCTACTCGTAAAGCTACACAGAGCTCCTTCAGCTTGGCTCTGTCTTTATCCCCGACCAAACCGATCCAGCAGCGTCGACGAAGGAAACCAACAAAAACAACGGATCATCAAGCTCGTAAGATCCGACGGTTCCTCCGAGGTCTACGACCGTCCCGTGGAGGTCTCAGAGCTCACAAGAGATTTCCCAAAACACAAAATCTGCAGATCGGACTCACTCTACATCGGACAGAAAACCCCTGTTCTGTCTGAAACCGACACGCTTAAGCTCGGACTCAACTACTTCCTCCTCCCTTCTGATTTCTTCAAGAACGATCTCTCTTTCCTCACCATCGCCGCCTTGAAACAAAAATCCGCCGGCGCCGGGACTCATCATCATCATCAACATCAACAGCCTTTCTTTATACAAAAGGGACAAACAGGGGAGCGTCTTAGGATCCGAGTGTCTGAAGATTTCATGTCGGAATTGATGATGAAAAACAGAGGAAACGAAGAGGAAGATGATGAAGGAGAGAGCGAAGGGAGAGTTTGTACGACGGTGAGATTGAAGAAGGATTATGTTCAATTGGTTGGTTTGAGAAAATGGAAGCCGAAGCTGGAGACGATAAAGGAGACAAAGGCGATGAAAGCGACGGTGGTGGAGAAGAAGAAGAAGAGAAAGAAGTTTCCTGTGATGAAGAAGAGATCATGCAAAGATTCTTCTCAAACTGATTCATCTGCGAAGCGTAAGCTTCAATCCAAATTCAAGTCCAAAACTAAGAAAGCTATTCTCAGAAAATTAGCTTAAATTTTTGTTTGATAAAGAATTTAGCAGATTGTGTGTGTATACGTAGAAAGTATTGAAATTATGTAAAGAAACTGAGAGAAAAACAATTTAATTAGAAGATAGAAATTATTTCCAAAATTGTTGGATTTTGCAGATTGTGTTATACTTTGAATTAACTTCTTATGCCAAAATAACGCCCACTCTTTTCTTCTTCTTTTTTTTTTTTTTTATTAAACAATCTGTTTATACGCTGTTTTTTTTTTTGGTCAAAATACGCTGTTTTTTTAAGTTATCTTTTTTGCATGAAAATTATCGTTCGTGCTTTCTTACACAAACGTAAGTATCTTTCGAATAATGTTGAACAACCCATTAAAATAAACAAGTTTGAACGTCCAATGGATAAACTTTCTGAATTCTGATTTGTCAGACAGCGAAATAAGGAGTTTTGGTTTTCTTTCTCTGTTGGCAACTTGGTTTATTGGGTTTTAAGTTTTTGTTCTTTAGCAAATATATTAACCAAAAAGGAATAAAAAGATATACAATTTGTCTTTTGTAATGTAAAATAATTATTTTGGTATAAAGCTTTTTTGGAATAATATCTTTTAAAAATTAAGTTAAAAAGGAAAAAAAATATCGGAATAAAAATTTAAAATATCAGACCAAATAACTCAAGAAAATTTACTTAAATTAAACTAATATATATAGTAGATAAAAAGACGAAAACTGAAGGAAAACTTAAAACAGGTAAAAGCATGGTCGTATTTACTATTTATGATGAATCTTTGAAGTTTGAATGAAAAATATATGGGGAAGAGGGAGAGATAGATAGAGAAGCACGTGTTTGTAGGAGTTTTGTGTCAGTCTCATTTTTGATTTTGTGAACAAATAAAGTGTGAAAAAAGAGACAAAAGAGTAGTCAAAGAAAGTCACCCAAAGACACCTTTCTTTTCTCTTGGCTAAATAGTATAATAGTGAATGTGATGTAGCCTTCAAATTAAGACGATGACAACCCCAACAATTTAATAATTAGGTTTACTGTAATAGAAACATATCTCAAGAAATGAATAGGATTTTATACCAATTATCTTCTAGAATGTGAGAATGATGGGTGAGGATTGAGACGCATTGACTCCATGATTTTGCCAATCTTCATAGAGACTTTTTGTTATTTTTGGTTTTCAAAAAAAATTATGATCTCGGTTATTTTTGTTATGATCGTTGCAAAATCAGAAATTCTTGTAAAGTCGTATCGAGGATCGAGAGGATACTTGTTGACCAAAATAGCATTCTTGTAAAATTGATTAATTAACTTCGCAATCTTTATTACTCTCTATGATGCTCTGGCCATCTTCCCTTGAATCTTTTATTTTTACACAACATAAGACATTTAGTGACCATTGACACGAAATTTCTACATGCCAGTTGGTTGGTTTCTGGTTCTATTTTTACATAAGAAAATATGCACTATATATTAAAATTAATAAAATAATAGAAATAAAATTACACGATTTTTACTTAATAAAATCTTACTTGCTAACGAATTATTTATTTAATTTTATTCTTCGTATCAGATAAACTTTTCGAAGCTTCATGATGACGTTTTCTTGATTATGTTTAGAGATTACAGAATTATGGAAGTGGTTCCATCATTGAAATTTAAAGGTTTGTGTTAATAAATTTAAGATATGTTCTGCCATTTTAGTAGGCCTTAATATGGTTCTAGCTAATTTGGCCTACTAATTTCGGGCTTTTTTTCCTGTGATACAGAGTCTAAAAATGAATCCTTAACCAGCCATCAAGTAAAATAACAAACACATACATATAGCAGCATGTCTTGAGATAACCTAGTATGATATCGATATAGGATAGGATAATATGTTATTTGAAAACTTTTGTTAAACCATGCGATCATTAAGGGGATGAGTGTAATCTCTCGTTCACCCACTTTGGGTTATTTACTTAATTGAAAAGTTGAAGGTTATTTACTTAAGAAAATAGTAAGGTTAGTTAGTGCATATTCTCTAAAAAGTATTTTTTAAAGGTTGCTAAATATAATAAACAAAACAGTGCTCTTTATAGTATTCACTATTATCGCCACAGAGTTAAATAGAGACCAAACTACATAAAATGAGACCTTGAAGCAATAACGGCGTTCACCTCGCATTTACAACCGTACGAGCTACAAGATTTGACAACCAATAAAGAAAATCTTGCATTTGATAAGTCACAATAACGAAAACATTCGCTGAATTCTCAAAGAAACATAAACGCTACGAGAGAGAGAGACACTCGATCTCTCTCATTCAACTCCACAACAAAAGCGAAAAGGATTGTGAAAAACAAAAGGGAACTGGTATCAAAGAAGAAAGTCACAAACTTGGAAAAATCACTATCATTGGAAGAAGAATGTCGAGGATGAAGAATCAAACCCTTCTGTTCCACTCTGACCAAGGCTGTTTTGATCCACAAAGCCATCGAGCTCAAAGGAAAACGTATCGATGCTTGCATGTGCTGCATTCCAATAGCTATCAGTCTCTGGAATCCTAAGTTCAGCTCCAAAACAAGTACTTGGAGGAAGAGGTGGAAGCTCATGATCACAATGCTCATCATTGTTTATAGAATTATAACCACATTCAGTCTCTTGAGGCCACCCATTGTATGAGAATTCACTAGAGTTGTGGTTTTGGTTTTGGTTGCTGGCGGATGAATAGAGATTGTTGTTGTTGTTGTTGTTAAGAGCTTCTTGTTGGTTTGGAAGGTTGAATAACTCAGAAATAAAACGTTGGGATTCATCAGGAGAGATGAAGGAAGTTACTGAGGAGCCACGAGGCATATCGGAGTAGACAAAGTTGGTCCGAGCAGTCAAGCCTCTTATGGACCGTGCTGCTCTATCATAGGCCAATGCAGCCTCCTCGGCCGTATCAAAAGTACCTAACCAATACCTTTCTTTTGTAGTTGGGTTTCTTATTTCAGCTGCGTATCTTCCCCACGGCCTTCGCCTCACTCCTAAGTACTTTATTTCTTCATTATGTTGTTGTGGTTGGGGCTGTAGTTGTTGCTGCTTTTGCCTATGACTCTTTTTTGATCTAGATGAAGAACCGGCGTTCGAACTACCATTGAACTCCATAGTTAATTTTGTATAGTTTTGCTTACACTCAAAATGTGAAATGATAAAGAGATTGGGTGATAATTAGAAGTGATGGATTTGGTTATCTGAAACAATGAAAGTGTGTGTTTAAATAGACGAGGTCACTTTTACTACGTGTATGTAGGGACCCTCTCTTTTATTCTAAAGTTCCCTTTGGGGGAATTTTTAAGATACAAAAAAATGGGTCACATGGAAATGTGCAAAATCAGATGATCATCACCTTCTAATCATATGATTGAAAGTGAAATGAGTAATTGTGACTTTTAGGATTGGCCCAAGTGAATCATGCAGGATTATGAAGCAATCTGCAATGTATTTTTTTCTTTTTTCTCCTTTTCTTTTTTGGCTAATCTTCTTTTTTCTTATTTCCTTTAGGCATACTATTATTTTTGGAGCGTGAGATTCGTTATCCCTGGTTATGATCACTTGTAGTTGTACCATATTTCAGTTTTCGATAATGAACTTTGATAATATAACTTTTTTACAATCAGCTTACAGTCTGAAAATTCGTCCGCATATCATCCTAAGTCGGTCTATCTTTAAGTCTCCATCTTTTAAAAATCGTGTAACTTGGTATTTGAGTCCTACTCCTACATGCATGTCACTTGCGCTAAGAATATTTTCATATCATACATTTTGGTACATCTCCACACGTAAAATCATGTTTCCATCAAACTGAATTTAAATTCATGACCACCATGCAGTAAACGATGGTCAACAACGTTTTTCTGGTGAGTTTCGGGCGAGTCCTTGAGTTTTAGCTAGTATTTACATATTCACTGATTGAGTAATTAAAATATGCTTAATTTTTTATACACACCTTTTAAAAAGGTTTATTAATACTAGTATACTACCATCCTATAACATATGGTAATATCATCTAATTGATCAAATGGAAGTTGGAGTTTAGGATTTCAGATCTCGAGTTTAGTTCTATATTTTTTTCTTTACCAAACCAAATCGACGACTCTAAAACTAATATGCAAACTTCTCTTTTCTTCTTTTTTGATAACAGACCTAATGGCTAATACGTGAACTTCCTTAACGTTTTTTTCCTAATTCATTTGTTCTTTCTAGTAATAGATCGTTGCCTTGTATGAATATTAGAATATAAGTGCCACTTGATCTAATGATGGGCTAATCACATGCTTTACAATACTCATGATTGCAAGCCCTGCAATCTCTCGGATCCAAATGATTATTTTCATTTCTTTTCTTTATGATTCATTCGATATTTAATTATTTAGATGATTTCACGAGGACTAAAAAGGAAGCAATTAATATCAATATTATAGAAACTTTGCGATAGAAAACTATTTGTTCTCGTTTTCTTAATTTTATTTTGTGGCGTTTTCATATGACTATTCCAATGCTTTTATGATTAGTCGCATGAACTTGAACATGTTCATTATCCACGATACATATGGTTACTTTGTTTTATTATTATGTCTTCGTTTATACGTTCGATGTAGAAGAATTTATGAGTATTACTGAACGTAAATCATAAGCTTAGTACATATAGTAGTAACTTATATATACGCGTAGGTATAGGCATAGAATCACGTTTGGTCTTTGGAGAGTCAAAATCAAACCAAACACATTGGTTCATTTGATCGTAAAATCTATCATCATCAATTTTGTTCTCAGGGCTATTTTTGGTTTGGGTTAAAATTTGAATATTTTTTTCTTTAATTTGGCCAAGTCCTCTCGACCTCGCATGCATTAAAATATAAAGCTCAATATATTTTTTAACGGGTATATAATAAGCATAGATTCAATCATGGAGGTATTATCATTCTCTATGCACGCTTTCATATTTTTTCAAAAACATTACCTACGTTGTAATAGCAGATTAATATTTTTTTTAATTATAATAAAAAATTTGCGACCCAAACCGGGAATCAACCGGATTTACAATCAAAATAAACCAAAAATAAAAATCGAAACCAAAACCTAATCTTCAATCCGTAAAAAAGAAGCGGTGCGACGGCAAACAACGAGCAGCTAAGCTCTCCCCGTCGCACGAGCCGGACGCCGGCTCCCACAGACCCCCTACGACGTACAGTGTTTTCCCTCCGATCTGCCTCCTCGCTTCCGCAGTGAATCCACTCTCGTAGCACCATCGCTAGATCCAAGACTCCTTTCCTCCGATCTCCTTCAGCCATCCTCCAGCATCACAGATCTGCAGAGTAATCGAAAGCCAAAGCTTTCTTCCGATGACCATAGCCGTCCCCTAGCAGAATGAAGATACGGATCCACCTCTGCAACACTCAACACCAAACCACCTCAAAAATGCAAATGCTCTACGCCTCGCACTGACGGAGAAGAAGAGATATAGTCTCTTGGTTTGCCTTGATTTACCGGCCAAAAACACCCAAACGCTCGACGCCAACAACAGTCGCCGAGCCTAAAACAGACCCACAAGAGCACCGCCGAGACAAACCTCTAGGAGTCACCGACGGAAAGCCCTCGCCGAGCCGAGACACCAGATCTCCTCAACTCGCCTGCAGAAACCAGAAAGAGATTGGGCTCGACGCAGTCCACCAGCGGAGTAGGTGGAAACGCCGGCCACAGAGGCGACACACCACCGTCACTGCGACCCCGGTGTCGCCGACGAAGTCGCACCGCCATCGAGGGAGAAGCCATCTGAAAACTCAACGAACAGCTCTTGAACCAAAACGAGACACATGGAAAAGAAAAAAAGGAAGGGACAAGGGAGGGGCCCTCCCCGACGGTGGCGAGGAGCACCGGCCGCCGGAGAGGCAGATCTGTGCTGGCGGCTGAAAGGTTTTTAGGGCGAACTCATAGAGGAAGAAGAGAGAGAAAAGTCCAAAATCGGGTCTATAATTTTTCAAATATTCTGTTATAATAGCATATCTGCCTCTCCGGCGGTCGACGCTCCTCGCCACCGTTGGGGAAGGCCCCTCCCCTTGTCATTAATAGCAGATTAATATTTACTGTTTAGATATTATTATAATTAAGGTCATAGTCATTAAGTGTTTGGAAACAAGAAATGCAATTAGGGTTTGCTTTTGGCAAAAAAAAATTGTTCTGAAAAGACGATTTATTAATTTGGAAAAGGTAATACAAGATCTTTGAAAAATTGGCTTTTTTCAACTTGAACTATGAAAAATGTTAAATTTATTCCCAACTTTGTATCGGGTGCTTAAACAAACTTCAACTTATTAATTATTTGAATTTTATACATAAACTCTTAATTCTGTGCTAAAACATACATGAGACCAAACAGAGTTAAAGAGCCGTCAAGTCTTATCTACGTGGCTGACATGTCAGTAATGATATCATCTTAAATTCTGAAAAATTGATTCGTTTGTACGCACAAAACGATCTGATTCAAGATCAAACTATGTCGTTTTGTTTTGTTTTTCCAGTGGATACTATATTGATCCAGTGCGGGAGGCTGAGCTGGAGCAACTCCGCCGCCGGAAAAACCAAGAGTTATTTTGGATCTAAAAAGAGCTTCGATTCTGACCAGAACCATAGGAGTCGCGACGGTAACGCGGAGGAGGCAGATGCGGAAAACGGCGGAGAAGAAGAAGCTGAGTGGCGGAGTCATCGGCAACTGCACGTCACCGTGGCGGAGATTTATCTCAAGAATGGAGAAGACGAACGCTGAGCAGAGAAAGGGTGGATTCGAAGAGATATCGATGGGGAAGTAGGGAGAGAGGAAGTGGTAGAGAAGTGTGAGCAGATCTCCGGGATGAAGATCGGAAACAAACCCTAACTCCTATGCTGGTAATGGCAGTTCTGTGAATTCGAGTAACTACAATAGACCAGCAAAATTCGGTTTCGTTCCTGCGACGGACAAGAGAAACAATGGACAGCATCTGCAAATTTGGGATCTTGCAACAAGAGGATGATGAACAGAGAAAATGAAAGTCAAGGATTGATTAAAGAATTTGCAAATTTGGTGGGTCAGGTAAGAATTCTTCTTACTAGATTGTAATGAGTCCATACAAGTGTTTGGTATTGTTTAAATGAATGTTTTTCTCATTCTGAGTGTGCTAATTGCTCTCTGTGAAATATATCAATCCGTAAAAATATCCCAAATCCACCAGTTTTGTGGTTACGACATATTTTGTTAACTCCATTATATTATTTTCTGCACATTTTCCTGCACACTCATTTCTTTGATTTTTTAAATTGTTTGTTCTTGTGTTGTAATGTTTATGTTTCAAAGACTCACGAACCCAGAAAAAATCCCCAAATGGTGTGTCTGTGTGAGATAGGTAGAAGAAAAGAGAAAAAACAATTAAAAAAAAAGATAAAAATACAGCGTATCTTAATCCCAAACGATGCCGTTTAGTGCGTACAAATGACTAAGTATTTGAGAACCTAAGACCATGTTCAATGGTAGCAACTTTTAAAGGATGCTTAAGTATTATTTAATTTTAATTTGAAGTTAAGAATTCTTGTTAAGCAATTCTGATTGTGTAAGCTCCAATGGTAGAATCTCCAACATTCATCACATAAATGTCTTCACCTTCCATCAACATCACCATAACACAAATAACCCATTAAAGCTAGTTCAGGATTTTCATCGAGCATCTTATCTGCAGTGTCAAGATATGATTTTTCCGTCTTCCTCAGAGCTCGAGACAGAGCCTCTAGAACTTCAGAATGGTTCGTCATTGATGCAGAGTGAAAGAAGATGGTCGGCGACGGAGAAAGATGAGGTCGAGCTGCAAAGAGAAGATGAGGTCGAGCTGCAAAAAGTTGGATAGAGAAGAAGACACCATTGATGCAGAGTGAAGGAAGAAGGTCGTTTACCCTCGGCGGCGAGAAAAGTTGACGGAGAAAGAAGAATCGATCATGGTGACGGAGAATTTTGATCGAAGAATTTTGAGCAATGAAGATGAAAGAAGAGAGAGAAAATTTTTCTACACCTTGAAGCCTATCACTTTTTGACACATGTCTGGCAAGCACCGATGCTTAAAACGCTTATTTAAGCGTCACTGCTTAAATTAATGTATTATTTAGATTTTTTTTTTAAATTGTCTTAGCACTCCTTCTAAGCCACCTGCATTGAACATGCTCTAAATAACGTTGTTTATAATGTGTCAGCCACGTGGATAAGACTTGATGATTATTTAACACTGTTTGGCCTCAAGTATATCTTAGCACAAAATTAAAAGTTGAAGTACGAATTTCAAATAATTAATAAGTTGAAGTATGTTTAAGCATCCGGTATAAAGTCAGGAATGAATTTAACATTTTTTCATAGTTCAAGTTGAAAAAAGCCAATTTTCTCGAGATTTTTGGTTATTTTCTTGAATATTTTCACTTACTTTTTTATTTAAAAAAAAAAATCACCTACTCCAAAACATCTCAGCTAACTCCGGTTCGATACAGACAGAGTCAGATAACCCCAAAAAAACATCTCGGCTAAGCGCACATCCTCCTACAAATCCACAATTTTTGTAATTTTTGATTTAGAAAATCATTATTTTTATTTTTGGGTCATTGAAAATCAAAATTAGATATACAAAAAAAAATATATATACAGTAGGGGTGGGCGCGGAGCGTATATCCTGAATTTTGGGGATATCCGTGATCCGCTCCGCTCCGTCCGGATAATCATTTTTCCGATCCGTATACGCTCCGTAATTATCCGGATATCCGTTTTCTGGATATCCGCCAAAACTCTGAATATTTTCTCGAGTATTCGATCCGTATCATAAAAATATTAAAATAATAATATATATAAAATAAAAATTCAAAAAATTCAAAATTTAGTTAAAAATGACAATATTTTCTTTAAAAATATATATTTTTTTAACTTATTAAGTTTTAATAATCAAATTTATAAACAAAAACTCACAAAAATTACATTTATATATAGTAATTATACACTTTATATGAATTATTATCTATCTATATATATACATATATATTTATATCGGAGCGGAGCGGATATTCGTTTTAATTTTTTTTAGTATTTGTGATTTGCTTCGTTTCTAACGAATATTAAATTTTACTATTTGTTTTGTTCCATAAAATTACGGATATCCGATTTTTCGGATCGAATCGAGACGAATAATGGATCGACTCAAATATGACCGATATTTTGCCCAGCCCTAATATGCAGAAAGGCCGAGACATTTCGCTGTGCTTTTGCTTCAGTCTTCAGATTGTGATATTTTTCTGACCCGAGGAAGAAGAAGAGATGGGTTTTGTCCTAATTTCTAATTGTCCTCCGTCCTCGCTGGTGGTCGTCTCTCACCCTCAACAGGTCTGTCTTCGCTCTTCTTTGTCTGAATCTGATTATTTGACTGTCTTCTTTCCAATCGTTTTAAATAATGTTCTGTTGTGGGTTACAATTTTTGTATCGATCAGTTCTCCGCCGGAATCAAAAGCAGTGAGCTTCCGTTTCGTCCTTCGTTTTCTCCGACCCGTAGAACCCTAATTGCCAAACCATGCTGTTTCAATCTCCCTCAAGAACCCATTCTCTCGGAGGCACTCAAGGTACTCTTGTTGCAATTACTTATACTTATTCTCTTCGGAGAAGAAAAAAGATAAGAATTTGGTGATGCAGATTAGTGAACTTATCTCTCTCTGATAACAAAATTGAATTTTTTCTTTTCCCCTTTTCAAAAGGGTTTCAGTAATCTTTACTTACGATGAGTTCTTCCAAATAGCAATTAAACAATGTATATACCAAAATCCTAGATGTGTGTTTGCCATGATTGTGTGTTCTTGATCAATCTTGGAAGGCTTCCTCTAATTACATATCTCCTTACATCTGTTTCAAACTTGATAGCTTAATTAACACTCTGTTTTCAAAATTTGATGGCTTATCCTTTGGATGATACTAATCCTCATTGCAATGTGTGTTGTTTTATGGTCTCTTTAGGAGCCAATTGCATTTGTGGGTGGGATGTTTGCTGGACTTCTAAGACTCGATCTAAACGAAGAGCCGCTCAAGGAATGGGTGACGCGAACAGTCGAAGCCTCGGGTATTACAGAAGAGGATGTTGATGCAGATGGGATGTCCTCCAAATATGATGAAGAATCTCCTCAACAGATAGAGATTGAATGAATATCACACTCTCTTCAAAACCGTGACTCATATATAGTTTACTGTCTTTACCATCAGCAAAGTATAAATGTAGCTTGCCATTTGTGTATGTAACCTTGTGTTGTTTATGTAAAATGAAACAGAAATCCAAAGAAGATTTAAGACCAGATGCATAGATCAAGATGAAGTGTTTTAGAGGCAAACCTAAACCAACATTTTAGATTAGGCCTGTCTTATTAACATTCGGAGATCAGATTGAAGGAAGAAATAGGCATTTAGATAGTCGGAAAAGATGAGATTTAGATTGATCTCCTTCAAGATATGCTAAAGAACTTGCTTTGCTAGTAGAGAAAAAATTAAAGGATTTTTAGTGATCACTCTAATCAAATCAAGCTAACGTTGTCAGAAAGATTTTACATTTACAGTTATTTGTGTGGATAATCAGATTCTTGTACAGTTGTACTCAAAACTACTGAATCCAGATTAATCTCAGCGAATACGTAAATTCTGTAGTGACCAAATACAGGCATACAACAAAAAAACTTTCTTTTGGGATAAAAAAGAGATTTTTATGAAATCTTTGTCCCTGACGATGAAGTGATTATTAACCACAGGTTTTTTTTCATCTAAATCAATCTAACAACAAGCACGTCACAATGAAACGACGGCGTTTCAATACATGTGATGAATCCGTTCACTAACGATCCAGCAATGCCACACCGCACCGGTACGAGTTCTGTAGTTTCAAATTCGTCACAATGGCCTCGCGTTTGTTATCCACGACACTTATCGGATCACCGACGGGTTTAAGGGCGTTTCCGGCGAGAGCTGGGGTGAGAAAGGGGAGGGTTAGTTTCAGAGCTGTGAGCGATAGCTCTCAAGGATCCGTCGATGGAACCATTTACCAAGGTGTTTACGGTCCTTGGACCATCGAGCAGTCCGATGTCAAAGAGGTGCGTCTCTTTCAATTCCTCTCGATTCCTGCTCAACTTAGACTAATTTGGTTGCTTGGGTTCCTCAAAAGTTAAGATTTTGGATAGTTGGGCAGTGCATAGCTCTCAGTTGTTATGTTATTTCGTAGTTTCTTGTTTGAAAGTTAAATCCTTGATGGTTTTAGTCTACTCTGTTCATCTAGACAATAGTTACTTATACAGCTCAGGGAATATTGGATTGATTTATAAAATGATTCTGCCTACAGTTTTGTTCCTGGTGAAATTGTTTCTGGGAGCTGCTGGATCAAATGGAAGTTTTTGATGATTACCTTTTGATTGTTTGTTTCAGGTTATCCTGTACAGATCAGGACTGGTTACTGCTGCTGGATCGTTTGTAGCCGCTTCTTCTGCTGCTTTTTTACCAGGAGACTCTTGGTTAAGTGAAGTAATCAGGCAAAACCATGACTTGTTCTACCTTGTTGGTGCTGGTGGTTTGGGCCTATCGCTGTTTCTGATTCACATATATGTTACGGAGATTAAGAGGACTCTTCAGGCTTTGTGGGCACTCGGTGTTGTTGGTTCGTTAGCCTCTTACGCAGCTCTTGCTCGACCAGCCAGTGATAACTTGGTTCATTATGTCGTTGATCACCCAAGTGCTGTTTGGTTTGTTGGCCCTCTTTTCGCTGCTCTCACGGGGCTCGTTTTCAAAGAAGGTAAAAATAGTTCTGTGTCTTCGATGTGCTTTACTAATGAACTAGGAGGCTTCATATATTTAGCCATACCAGTTTTCGATTTTCTTGATTTGTATTTGTGTCTGCAGGACTTTGTTATGGAAAGCTAGAAGCTGGCCTTCTTACATTCATCATACCTTCAGTTCTTCTCGGGCATTTGGTAAAGTAGCGTGTTTGTTTAATATAACCTGCTTTAGCTACCTTGGACCAAGGCTCCTGAGATTAATTAAGAACTTTATCATAAGGCCAAATTATTCGAATAGCCCGACTTAAATTGGAGAATTGAAATTGCAGAGTGGTCTGATGAATGATGAGGCAAAACTGGTGTTGCTAGGAACATGGATGGCCCTTTTTGTAGTATTTGCTGGAAGAAAATTCACTCAGCCCATAAAGGTACACTGTTTCTCGTTGAAGAATATGCGAGCTTCGAGGTCTTGCTACAACAAGTATTAAAAAGTGGCTGTAATACTAATAATCTTCAATCTGGTTTGGTTGTTTAAGGATGATATTGGGGATAAATCTGTTTTCACGTTCATGTCTCTTTCGGAAGATGAGAAGAAGGCTTTAGTTGCAAAACTCGAGCAAGAAAGGTCCGGGTAAGAAGACCCAAAATGATAACGAAAATGTTTTTAAGCATCTTCAAGAATAGGTAAATATCTTGTATCCGTAGAATTATATATGTACACCTATGAGCAGAGATGCTACCATAAACAGTTTGTAGATTTGTGATTGGTAGCCTTTATCGCACCATTACTAAAAATGACAATACAAATGCTATCAAAATCATCATTTGCACATTAACCCATGATTTACAATACACACCCGGGTTACATCCCATCTTTTGGCTGATCTTGGCCCGGGTCATTTTGACCAGGTCCTGATTTTCGTTCCTCCTCATCAGGCCCATGATTTAGAGGAAGAGGATCATGATTTAGGAAAAAACTTAACTAAGACGCAGAATAAAATCGAATATTGGGTCTCTTTCCTTGGTATAAATGCCTTTGACGTGTGAGAAATCAGTCAATTCTTGCATGTTTTTCGGCCATATGATGGCCTACAATGATTACGATTTTGGAGAAAGAAAAGATGCAAAGAACGAGTTGTTTAGTGTTGTGAACAAAGAGCGTGAAATTAGGAAGGGAACAAAGGTTTTTGTCGTTGGAAACTGAATCGAGACAAGCAATTGAAAGACAGGACACACGAGTGGGGTGTTAATTGCGGTGTACAGAGTACGACTAATATGGTCCACTCTTAAGACTAGTATATAATATGGTCACACACTCTCTCTCTCTGTCTCTCTCTCTCTCTCAGTAGTCTTGTTGCTTTCTTCTAGGCGTTTTGCATTTAATCGAGAATAATGAATACACATTATCCCAAAATACACTATGTCCAAGTTGGACCAAAGTACACATTCCTAAGTTTGGCCAAAATGTGACTATTATACAGCTATGTCTTTCTTTGAGGTAAAATACAGCTATGTTGAACACAAATATAGGACTATTCTCTACTTCACAAACCACAATAATGATTCTATATTAGATGATGTTTCAAATAATATCTATCGAATCTAGCTTTGTTTCTTTAGAAATGGAAATGGAGACAAGAAAAGTTGGATAAGAGAGAGAGAGAGAGAGACTGATGAAGCGAATCCGACCAAAACTGAGGGAGAGAGCAAGTGTTAAAGGAGAGTCCCTACCACCAATATGAGGACGAGCTCGAAGTTGCGTGCGGACGAAAATGGAGGAGTCGTGTCTAATGCTGCATCTCTCTCTATTCGTGTGTCTTTCTTTTCTTTTTGTGGGTCTCTCCCTCTTTCTCTCTCTTTTGTCTCTTCTTTGTAAGTCTCTCCCTAAACGTTTTAATTCCTTTTTTCTCTCTTTGTTCCCTCTTGCACTCGTGGCCTTCTTGTAACCTCTCCATTTACATTGACACACACACGGCTCACACACGATCACATTTTTCTTTTCCTTTTTACAATCTTCAAACGATAGATCATATATTTTTTTTTCAATTATTTGATAGTTGTAGACATGCATGTAGGAGACTATGAGCCGTGTGTGTACCGTGTGTGTGTGTGTGTGTCAATGTAAATGGAGAGGTTAAGCATACCAAATTTCACATGCATTTGGAATTTTTTAATCAAAGGTTAACGCATATTTTTCTCCTCCCGCATTCATAAGTTTATAGTCAATTACGGACCAAATCAATCATCCAAGTATTACTGGTATACTGTTTCAACAATATTAGCATCTTTTGATGTAATATTGAGTGAAGTGAACTTCTTGGTTACTTTATTCTTTGGTAAGCATCTCGAGTCTCGACGATTCTTTATGTAGTAAAACTTTTACTGTTAACATTGTAATTTTCTTTTGCATATGTACAACATCGTCATTATATTTATATCCATCATCATTAAGCATAAACATTTATCCTAAGAACAAAAAAAAAAGTCGCCAAATTCAACATCTTATCTGATAGCTAAATTTTGTAAGATTCTGTAGTCGCTCAATAAAATATTATTTGTGTTATACCCATACTTGGTTTGTAGTGTGACTTATTCCTAGTTCTCTAATAAGAAATAGTTATCTATAATGTTCATTTCTGTAGATATTTGTTTTTTTTTTTATAGAAAATAAAGACGGGTTACGACTTACGAATGTGTGGAACGTAAACATTAATGAATGAATTATTTTCGGAATAGACAACTGTAGATGCATAACGTCTAAATGTGGTTAGGACTTAGGAGTGCAAGCTGATAAAAAGTTTGATATCTAACAAACTAGTTTTCTTTGGGTCTAATCAAAACTATTGTGGATAGATTCTTATCTATGAATGCATTATTTGTTTTGAATCTATCATTTCATTTAAGTTGACAATACATGTATACATATTTCCAGACTTACATGAAAACGAACACTTTATTTAATCATATTTAAGAAACAGACACGATTAGATGGGGTTACAACTATAACAAAAAAAACATGGGGTTACAATAGTTTGTGTTGGTAGCGATACGAAAACGACAGCGTTTTGTTCTGGAGAGCGATACGGAAAGTAACATGACAGGACAGTTGAGAGGAACTCATCGTTTTCTCTCAAGTGAACAGTAAAGCGTGTTCCCTTTTTTTCTTTTGCTTTAATATTTTGGGTCATAGATCTGTCTCTTTTACCCATTTACTCAAATATCAAACACATCCATCAAATCCAAATTCTTGTCGGTTACTCACATCCTACATTAACCATGCTTTAAACTCATTGATCATTTCCAAAAAAAAAAAAAACTCATTGATCATTTCCAATCGTTATGATGAATCTTGGAATATGGGGTAGTCATATGAGCCAATTTACTGGTTATTTTTTGGGCATTCGAAAATCTGAAAATAATCACTCATTTATTATTTTCAACATTAGATGTAACCAGTGGCAGAGTAGGAAAAAAAATTACGGGGTCAATTTTAATTTATAATGTACTCTAAACAAATTTTACTGGAGTCATTTAACTAAATTATTAATATTATATTTAGTTTTTACATAAAATATACAAATATTTATAAAAAAAATTAGAATTTCACCTGGGTCAATTACATCCCCTTCCAACATGCTCCATCTGCCACTGGATGTAACAGATTAACTACATTAGTAGTTCTACCAAATAGTCATATAGTTTGTATATTTTATGACTTCATTAAGATCTTATAAGTTTTTTAATAATGAATGAATGAATATGAATTGTTCAAATAGAAGAATTTATGTTTGTTATTATATGTAACACGAAAGAGGAATATATGTTTGCTATTATTATAAATGAAATAATGTACTTTTGGATATCGTTTAATCGATGGGGCTACCATTTTTAAAATCATCTTTTTCAATACAATTTAAAAGTAAGCTATTTAACTTAGTTTTTTGGTACTTCATCACCAGATTTTTTTAATTACTAGTTCTATTTTATTTGAACATTACAAAAATGTCAAATTAAATAATGGTAAGAGTTTTTTTTGTCAATAATATAGTGTGATTTATGAATGGATATTTTATCTTTGTTTTTAAGAAACGAATTGATTTGTAGATGACAATTAAATAATTGACACATCAAAACTTCGTAACTGTATAATCATTTCATTCATGTGTTATTCTTTTGGTGAATGCATTAAATTTATTTAATAAGATAATGATCCTATCTAGTTTTATTGTTGTTAGAAAATTCATAAGTTTTCTATTCTGCAGTTTACATTACAACAATACTATTAAGGCAGATGTTTTTATTAACACCATGATTATTGCAGTCCCTTACATGGGTCTTTTTAGACCTTTTAATAATAATAAAAAATAGAAAGTCTATAGAATACAACAAACGTTTCCTATTCTGCATTTTAAGGGATGTTTCTTATAAGACAGGTGGCAAATAATTATTAAAATAATCATAAAAAACCTAAAAAAGGTATTTAGCAATAATCATGCTGTTAATTTTAACGTACGTTGTGCTGCAAAAAAATCCAAGACCAGCTAAATGTCAACACTTGGAAGAAATTTTCCGAAAGTCTTAACAGTTTCCATTTTTAAACAATTGTTTTGCATAAATCAATCGTTTTAGGACAAGACTTTTTGTGGTTTTATTCGACTTCAAAACTTCTCTTTTTTTTTGTATAACCAGCGATGATATATAGAAAGTGAAACCGTTGGCGAGAGATAGTTGTGATTATGAAAAAAATATGATGTAAGAAAGTAATGTGGATCTCAATGATGTGGCTGTGTGTTGGCTGGCAAATTAAACCATCACCATCTTCATGTGCATCGATACGTCACTCTTCACTTCTCTATCCAATTATTTCAATCTACTCATTTTAATTCCATCTTTACCTATACTAAAGTAGTAATATTGTTAAACATGAAGAAAGAGACACAAAAAGTATACATTCACAAAATGAAAGGACTTTGCTGAAAGCTTGTTACAAAAGAGACAGGAGAGTAAAAGCACTTACAATAATTAAAAAAAAAATAAAGATAAGATAAAAAACACCAATTAGCAACTTAATAAATGAGGATCTTACTTAAAATCAAGACTTTAATAATATTTTATTTAAAAAAGCTAAGAATCTAAACCAAGTGGTTCCCATTGAGGAACTCTCTGACTGAAGAACCTCCCAATAACTCTGGAATCAAGAATCTCAAGAGCTCCTCCAGATTTAACACATCTTGGAGTCTTGTACTGATTCACAGAAGATCCTTGCGAGACACAAAAATCCATCAACAAATCAAAAGTCCCCAAACTCACCACTCTTATCTCCAATGGCCCAATCGATTTATCTCTGTTCCTGCATCTCCTGTACACGTAATCCAAACAATCCTCAACCACAGAGCAACATTTCTCCATTGTCTTGTCGTCTAGCTTTGGTGGGTCGTTGCTGTGGCGTGGCTTTAGCTCCCAGAAGAGCACGTAATGCCCCGGGATCGATGACGTGTCTGCGTAGCTCGTGTACTCCGTGAGCAAGAGGCTTGAAGGTTGTTGCAGATGGTTGAGTTTGGCTTGTGTCACCGCGTTTAGCAGATCTTCCTCGCTTGTTTTGTCTGTATCGATGCTTAAAACGACGTTTCTACGCTGCACGAAACGGAACTGAGGCGCGTTGTTGTGGAATCCAGTCACTTTTAGAATATCACCTACTCTGTATCTGTATAACCCTATTAACAAAAACAAATCCATAGGTTACTTGTGTCGCAAGTTACTTGAGATGGAAACCTAGAAATAAATATACCGAGATTATATGTTCGTAGAGAGACACTAACCTGTGAATGTAGTA